TATTTTTTATTAAAATTTTCACAAAAATGGAATTTGAATTTAACAAAATATTTGTATAGATTATTAAGGATGGTTTCAACAAGGCAGAAATTTGAACTTCATAGAAGGCTTAAGATTTTTTTATACTCTAGAAATTTATATTTTGCATCATTTTCAATGAAATTAGGCCACAAAGATATACTAATCAATGCACTCATTTTTGCTTGTATCATCTGTCCTTACTTCTCGCTGAGAAATTATATATCATTCTAAAAATTCATATCGCCCAATCTGCGTTTCACTGCAATTTCCACTTAGACTTTAATTATGAGACAATAATAGGCAAATCTATATATTTTTTTTTAATCTGGATATTTTCTGCTCCACATTTAAGAGTTATAAATTAATTTTTTCAAAATCCCCTTCAATGATAAAACATGACATGAACAAAACACTATATTGATATAAAAGAAAAATAGAAAGCCTTGTAAAGAATTGAAAGACAAGGAGGAAAAATAAATTCAAGGTTTATCTAATCGTATGTGTTGCTGTTTTTTGAACTCATCATGAAAAAGAATTTGTGAAGACGAATGTAGTTTATACTTAATTTGATGAACAACACATTTATATATATAAATGGTTTATGGTGGTTGCATTGTGTGTTCATTTTTAGCTTCATACGCAGTACTAGCTATTAATAGATTCAGCTACTGCTCTGCATAGCTCCTAGTGGAATTTTCCATGCGCATGCGCATTGGTTATTTTATTTGTAAACATTGGCTGCATTCATTGTCTAAAAGAAAACACGGAAAATATCCCAATAGCTTTTTTACATGGAATTTCCCCGTAAAGGAGTATTATCTTATTGAGGATTGTGTCTTACAGAAAGTTTTTAACAGGTAATTTGTTCGATTCGGAGCCTATTTATGTCATAAGGCGAATAGCGTCGCTTCATCTTCCAGTTTGCACATCGCCGTAACCTGATATCAACAGCGCATCGTTAAGTAAAATCGCCAAGATGCACATTCTTTTTGTTGGCGACTCACATGTACGCAGATTTGGAAACTTTGTGAATGGTAAACATCCCGTTGAAACATTTAATATAAGGAACTTGGGATCGTTTGAATCCTATGGTATAAGTGGCGGATCAATCGGTAATCACGCACACACCCGCGCCATCACTGCCGCGATCAGAGATAAGCGACCGCAGCATGTCATTGTGAATTTGGGAGGCAACGATTTAGATTCCTCTGAGGCATTGACTGTATCGTAATGAGACTGATTTCATTTGTGTCACTACTTAAGAGACAATTCAACATCAAAAGCGTGGTGATTTTGAGTTTTATTCCCCGGGATCGGACAAGACATATCAGCCCTTCGGAATACACTCGTCGAGTGGATCAGGCTAACCGCTTGTTGAAGACTTGCGTAACACAAGACGACATGCACTTTTGGAGACTAAAAGGTTTTACCTGCAGCAGGAATAACGTTTTATGCGACGGAATCCATTTAAATCATCTTGGACAGTACAAACTCTTAAGACAAATTAGAGGAATTCTCCTTCTGTTATCCAGGGATCACTAATTACCCTTGAAGACAGGGGCTTCTCGGGTCTACAGGCGAAAATACACATTATGTGTTCTTGTTAACATTTTAAATTTCTTTAACTTTTTATTTTTATGATCATCATGCATATAATATTTGATTTAATAAGTTGTATAAAAGTTTTATGGTTTATATTACATAATAATTTCATGAATCGTCCATATTTTTGCTCCTTTGGTTAAGCATATTCAGCAATGTTTACAATTCAATTATTTTGGTTACAGCAGAAGTTTGTGTCCTAGGGTGAATCTACATCCGTGGGTTCCAATATTGTTTTTATTTTGACTTGGAAGGTAAGAGTTTTTTGGCTACCTATTTCTGTATGACGAAAAACCTAATGATTTAGCCGTAATCGTTTCTTTGGTCTAAATCATTCATGTTCTAACTGCTTAATTATTTGGCAGTAACAACTTTTATTTATGCTTCAAATGGAGGCACCACAATTAATGGCAAATGCTAATATATGAACTATAATTAGTTCACCACACTGCTTCGGCAGATTGTGTTTTTATATGATTGAACCATTCTGCTTCGGCAATATGGTTTTTTATATGTATATGGATCACGATTTGTTACCACACTGCTTCGGCGGATAGTGGTTATATACGATCCAACCACACTGCTTCGGCAGATTGTGTTTTTATATGATTGAACCATTCTGCTTCGGCAATATGGTTTTTTTATATGTATACGGATCATGATTTGTTACCACACTGCTTCGGCGGATAGTGGTTATATACGATCCAACCACACAGCTTCGGCATATAGTGGTATTATATTTTATATTATGATTTGATATCACACTGCTCTAGCAGTTTGTGCTTTTATTTAATTCATCCACAAGGCTTAATAATTCGGCCAATTGTGGCAAAATATGTACACACATATATTTATACAATATACTACTTTATTTATCAATAGCAAACAAAAGATATGATTTATAAACATATATGCAGTTAATGCAAGCCTTAATGGTTCTGATTATAATGATATTTTCAGTAAACACTGATTGGTAGCACTCGTACAGTTGTTTCTAATTACCACCTTATTTATGACTTATGAATTTTCTTAGGATGGCTTCGAGACCAAAACGAAGAAGAACCTCGACCAAACGTCAGGATCAGCCTACAACAACGACAACATCAGAGACGAGAGGCGAAGAAGTATAATTTTCCAGCAATGCATGTCGAAAATCATGCCGACGATCGAGGAGACGTTTAAAACGTGTATGGACGATTATTTTAAGTCCAAGTCTGCATCTTCGCCTCCTCCAACCGCATCTTCGCCTCAGCCAACTGCATCCTCGCCTCAGCCAACTGCATCGTCGCCTCCGCCACCAGTGCCACTGGAACCAAGTATGACGTCGCCAGCATCTACACTCCTTAGCGAAATTACAGGTGATCAATCTCTAGATAGCACGAACAAAGATTGTGTAGCTAACTCAGATCCCCCCCAGACCCTATCTGCCTTGTCCTTAACGTTAGGCGTAGATCAAAAAACACGGGCAAAAATTCAGAGCTACCAGTTCGTCAAATTTGCTTCACTAATTAAACCCATTGACCCTGATGAAGACGAAAGTTACAGGACTATAGAAAAAGACGGACATCTGATCTTTAAAAAGACTTCAGACAAAACTCAAATCACTTCCATCTACAAATGGATCGAGTGTTTCCATGTTTTTGTTGCTATCTACGCGGAAAAACACCCTAACGAAGTACCAAATCTTATGGTATACGGCCAAATCGTGCAAAAAATTTCTAAATCAAGCGGTGACAAGGCGGCTATTGCCTACGATGAAAGTTTCCGACGCTGGCGACAACTGGATCCAAAAGCCTGCCCATGGCAATCGAAAAATATAGAATTGTACCAGGAAGCCATGGCACAGGGACTAGAGCTTAAGTTTAAAAATAGAAACCAGCCCTTTCGTGCCTCAAACACCCAGGCTAAGCACCGCTATTGCTTCTCATACAACAATAACGGATTCTGTAAAACTAAAGGATGTCCACACCCCCATGTCTGCCAAATCTGTGCGGCTAGACACCACAAGAGACAATGCCCAAAGTTTAAACCAAATGACAAACCTCAGACACAAAACTCCAAACAAGGCGCAACCAGAACAGAATCGACAGCCCCCTCTAAAAAACTCTGACTCTATCGTTACTCCGATCAATGTTCAACAGCTTCAAAATTATTTAGCTGGATATGACCATTCTATATCGCAGTTTTTAATAGAAGGCTTTACTCAAGGTTTTAAGATCCCATATATGGGGGAGCGTAAATTTAGGTTTTCTCGTAACCTATCTTCTATCTTAGGCAAAGAAAAAATATTACAGGACAAGATTTGTAGGGAAATCGAAGCTAAAAGAGTCTCTGGTCCTTTTCTATTGCCACCTTTCCAAAATATTCAAATTTCCCCCTTAGGTCTAGTCCCTAAAAAAGTCCCTGGGGATTTTAGGTTAATCCATCATTTGTCTTACCCGGAAGGGAACTCCATCAATTCCCACATCCCCAAAGAAATGACTACAGTAAGTTACCAATCAATTGACACAGCCATTGCAATCATCAAACAAGTTGGCAGGGGGGCTCTTCTCGCAAAAACCGATCTGGAAAATGCCTACAAACAAATACCCATACATCCACGGGATTTTGAACTGCTAGGTTTCATGATATCTGGGTCATATTATTATGACAAAACACTTCCATTTGGCTTGAGTTATTCTTGCCATCTCTTTGAAAAGTTCAGTTCAGCTTTGCAGTGGATCTTAGAGAACAAGTTCGGTGTAACTTATTGCGTGCACATACTAGATGATTTCCTTTTTGTGGGTCCCCCCAGGTCCATAGACTGCTATAGCTCACTTTTAGCATTCTATTCCCTTGCCAAAGATATCAATCTCCCTATCAAATCCGAGAAAACTGTTCACCCAACTACCACCTTGACATTTTTGGGGTTGGAATTGGACACATTAAAATTGGAAATTAGACTTCCTGCTGATAAGTTGCAGCGTTTAAAATCTGAAATAAAATCATTCCAAAATAAGCGCACCGCTTCACTCCGCCAACTGCAGTCATTGATAGGTACTTTAAATTATGCTTGCGCAGTTATTCCCCCTGGACGCACATTCCTTAGGCGGATCATCAATCTTACTCGAGGTTTGCAAAATCCTTCTCATCATAGGAATCTAGACAAAGAAGCCCGAGCCGATTTGAGAGCATGGGCCATTTTCCTGGATCATTTTAACGCTAAAGCCTTTTTCCCCTCAGGGGTGCAACACACATCCTCCTCTTTGCACTTATTTACTGACGCTAGTAATTTGGGGCTCGGCTGTACTTTTGGTAGGAAATGGTTTTATGCTCCTTTTCCTACTCAATGGGTTGATTTTCACATCTCAGTCAGGGAATTCCTGCCTATTGTGATCGCTTTCGACATATGGGGACACTTATTTTCTAACAGCACTGTTATTCTGCACTCTAACAACCTAGCAGTTGTTCATGTCATCAACAAAAACTCTTCTAAATATGCATCGCTTATGCAACTCATGAGACGACTGATGGTCTTATCCCTAACATACAATATACATTTTCAAGCTAAACATATTGAAGGAGTCAAAAATATAGCTGCAGATCTACTTTCTCGATTGCAGGTCAAAGAGTTCCAAACACGGTTTCCTTACATGGATCCGGCCTGCACCCCTGTGAACCCAGCATTGATAAGTCTCTGAATCAAACCACAGAGTCCTTGCTGTATTGTTCTCTATCACCGTCCACAGTTGCAGCATACAAATCGGCATTCCAGGCATACAAGCTCTTTATATTACAAACTTACGGTCAAGAAACGTCACCACTACCACCCTGTTTGGAAAACCTAGCTTACTTCATAGCAAATTGTTACCAAACAAATTTAGCTGCGTCCACTACTCGAACCATTATATCCGCTCTTAGCTTCATTTTTCAGCTAAGTTCTTCCCAGGATGTTACCCAACATTTCATTATCAAAAAAATGCTTCAAGGCTTTCTAAAAGCAAAACCGATTAACGACCCTAGACTCCCAATAACCCCAGATATTCTCCTAAAACTAGTACAGGCCCTCCCCTACACTGCAGATTCATATTTTTCAAGAATTTTGCTTCGGGCCATGTTTATCTTAGCTTATTGCGCTTTTCTAAGGGTAGGAGAAATTACTAAAACCAACAGCAAAACCCATCATTATCTATTAGCAAAACATATATCAAAGGGTAACAAAACAAATGGCATAGGTTTCCTGGAAGTTGCAATACCTCATTTCAAACATTCAAAGTCAAATTCTACAACTATCCACCTATGTCAGAACACTATAAACCCATTGCTTTGTCCATACCGCGCTATCACAGATTTCCTTAACATCAGAAAACATGATTCCCCAGAAGCACCCCTTTTTTCTTTTATGGACAACACCCCAGTCCCCCGCCAATATTTTACTTCACAACTTCGGCTCGCTCTTAAATTTAGCAATTTAGATCTTTCGAAATATCAGGCCCACAGTTTCAAGATAGGTGCAGCAACAACAGCAGCTGCAACGGGATACACAGAAATTCAAATTCAAAACATGGGTCGTTGGAAGTCCAGTGCCTTTAAGAAGTACATTCGCATCCCTTCTATTACCCCGTATTAAGATTATCTGGAGACAGGGGCTTCAGGTGTTTTTGCCACAACAACTCGTTCTTACCTTAAGACAGGGGCTTAAGGTAATCCTTAATATGACATTGTTACTTAGAGACAGGGGCTCTAAGTATGGTTAAGTGTTTTTGCCACAACAACTCGTTTTTACCTTAAGACAGGGGCTTAAGGTAATCCTTAATACGACATTGTTACTTAGAGACAGGGGCTCTAAGTATGGTAAATGTTAGTAGTTTTTCTTGAGACAGGGGCTCAAGTAAAACCTTAACTTCTAGAGTATTGTCCTTTCATGCATTTTAATTTTGTGTACATAACACTTTCATTTGATCCTTATAGTAATTGTCAGCAAGAAAATGGTTTGACATCTAATTTTTGTTTTGTCTATGACGTTGTTGGATGGGGGCGGTAACAAGCCAGCATGAGCTTCTTTTACTTCTTGCGCCGGTATTACAATGCTACCTTGTTACGGTGGCAGATGACGCCCCATATTGTCTTTTTGTTGTACATGTATATATGCTGACATTTTTTAGATAGATGTTTTTTGGATTAACAATTTTTACAATTGAGACTTTTTTTAGATGTAACACAGGTGCTTCATTGTTGTCAATAGCATTTATTGTTTCTTTTTCTAGTCAGAATCGTGCACCGACCTTGCGGTTTCATAGCATAATATTTTTGTCCCTAGTCCTTTTAATTTGATTGTATGTATTTTTACTGTTTGTCATTTATTGCACTTGTTTGAATAAATGACCATTCTTATTCCTTTACTTTTTGTTACTGTTATATTTTCGGGGAGATTGCCAAACAACATAAAACACATTTATATATATAAATGGTTTATGGTGGTTGCATTGTGTGTTCATTTTTAGCTTTATACGCAGTACTAGCTATTAATAGATTCAGCTACTGCTCTGCATAGCTCCTAGTGGAATTTCCCATGCGCATGCGCATTGGTTATCTTATTTGTAAACATTGGCTGCATTCATTGTCTAACCACCACCCTCCCCTCCACCTTTTTTATTTTGTTGTATATATTTTTTAAAAATGCCTTCTGTTTTAGGCCATTATAGCCACCAGGGCAGATGACGCCCCATATTGTCTTTTTGTTGTACATGTATATATGCTGACATTTTTTAGATAGATGTTTTTTGGATTAACAATTTTTACAATTGAGACTCAGGGACGTTTTTTAGATGTAACACAGGTGCTTCATTGTTGTCAATAGCATTTATTGTTTCTTTTTCTAGTCAGAATCGTGCACCGACCTTGCGGTTTCATAGCATAATATTTTTGTCCCTAGTCCTTTTAATTTGATTGTATGTATTTTTACTGTTTGTCATTTATTGCACTTGTTTGAATAAATGACCATTCTTATTCCTCTTTTGTTTAGTTTTAATGTTATTTTTTTCTTGAGTTTCCTTGGAAATTCCAATAGTATGAAGCAGTTGCAAATGGTTATCTTGAAGAAATATTAAATTCATCCCATGTTCCTTAATCGGTGGACGTTTTAAATGTACTTGATTATTTTTAAAGTCTTACCTCTTTAAACTCCAACTCACACATGGTTTAAATTTATGTAAGCAATATTTTTTTAATGCAACAAAGAGGACTTGTTCAAACACCCGTAATATAGTAAAATGTTAATTGATTTCATATCTTGTCAGGTTAACAAGAATTGAACTAATCTAACGTAAAATTTATTTCTCAAAATGAGTGTACAATCAGGAAACTATCTTCACAGAAAACGGATTATGGGGAACGAAATAAATGTTTATAAATAATGTTTTAAATTAACGTAACAAGGCTCTCTGAAATTTTATCTTTTTGTTTAAGGTACGAAAAGAAAATGTCTGTTTTAATGTAAAAGGATAAGTTTCACAAAACCGTAAAATGCTAAAATAACTTTAACTTTTTTAAGTAAAAAACAAGGCAAGATTTATTAATCAAGAAAACAAAAATATGTCCCTAAAGCAGTAGCAGTTTTAAATGTACGTTGAGTATGAATTGTGAATTTTTGTCTCTTTAAATATCAACCAATGACATTTTATCGAACAAAAATAACTATTGAAAATAATTTTTCATGTTAAATAACTTATAGTTTTAAAAAAGAGATTATTGATTTTAATAGTTCTTGTCAGTTGAACGACATTTACATTGGGTTTAGGTACTGTATGATATAATAGTCAGAGCTGAATGCAGAGATAAAATGATCATCACAAAAAACGGCTTTGAATAAAGGCAACATTGGCAGTATTAATATTATTTAAAGATGTATATGGAAGTAACAAATGTTATTCAATAACAAAGTCCATAAAACAATACAAAATAATAGCAGAGTAAACAAGTATCTCCAAACATCACGTGTGGGATCAGGTGTCATGGAGGAGTGAGCATCCCCTGCTGACCAGTCACATCCGCCGTGTGCGCATTGTCATAATCGTGAAATAACGGAATAACCCGTCGTCATTTCAGTGTATGAATAATGGCTGCTGATGTTCTTGTTTCATCAACTTGCTTTTCAATAATTTACCTCATTTTAGAAATTGTTCATACGTAGAGCATGCTCTTCCATATCGAATCAACTGAGATATATACACTCCGTATGCAGGTGATGATTGTATATTGCTGCATAAGTAAGGGAAATTGACGATAAAAAAGTTATCACGTTTATCATATAGCCTCGCTATTAGATTACTATTACCGTCTTTTTTCAAGTAAAATATTCAAGTATGAAACATATGTGTCAGACTCTGTGGTACCTTAAACGATAAAATTTCTATAAGGACTATATAGAGTCAAAGACGATTTTTAATCTAGTAGTCCTCTGAAAGACAAAATGGTTTTTACAAAGTCATCCCTCACCTCAAAGTTTGAAGTTGTAAGATTTTTTTTTTTAAAAGAAAGACCATATATAAAAAAGCCATGTCGTGTGGAACCACTACATTTTTTTTCTTTCTCAATCTTTGATTTACAGATATTCTGTGTCAGTATTTATACCGGGAAAAATTTATTTGTATGTAACATGAGCTTTAATAATTTAAAATAACACGAGCTGTGATAGTTTAAAGTAATATTAGCTGTGATAATTTAAAGTAACAATAGCTTTGATAATTTAAAGTAACATGAACTGTGATGATTTAAGGTAACATGAGCTGTGATAATTTAAGGTAACAAATTTTTTTGGAACACATGTTGATTAAAAATAGTGATACTGAAGTTAAAGATTTTCATACTGTAGACCAGGCTTGTGTGTTGTTTTTGTTACAAAAAAAACATATTTATAACAAAGTGAAATTCAGCTTATTACAAGAAACTGTCCAATATTATTAAGAAATACCGTATTTATTGAAATTATTTGCTTTGATCAAATATACATAAGTACGAGGGGTGATCAAAAAGTTCGCGAACTATCTCTATATATACAAACCCACAATTCAGATTAGAATGAAATTAGGTACACACAGCCATACAAAGGGTTTATAAATACCATATCCTGAATAAAGTTTTTCTTCTTGTTTGTGACGTCACAATAAGAAAATGACGTTACTTTGTAGGTCACTTGTAACGAAAAATGGTTGTCTCAGTCGAAATCGTTTAACAAAGGACTGTACAATTTATTGTATATCTTAGAAATCTCTCTGCAGTATCATATAATAATTTGCACACAGTTTGTTGAGATAAATGAGTTCCTATAAATTCAATAAATGATTGGATTGATCGTTTTGGTGAAGGAAGGCACATGGTTAAAAATGATACTTCTCATCTTGCCCAGTGAAAGCAAGTTTGAAAAGATATGTATTTCTAATTAAGCAATTTGCTATCAAAGACCTCCAATTAATACTTTGAAAAATAGTTAAATATTTGAACAAAAATATAATTATCAAATACATAAGATATTGTTTACTTTTGATTTAAACATAGTAGATATGATAAAAAGGAGGCACCCATTCTCTCTCCACCTTGAATAAGGGTATCTGCCGAGACAGAATAGTTGTGTTTTAAGGGTCGCAATGCTTATTTTTGGAAAGAATTTTCTTATCAACTCATTCCGTTGCCGAGATATGGACATTTCTGACAAATAAATTGTTCTTGACATAACATTTAACTCACATGGAAAAAAATATAAAACTCAGAAAAATCTTTCAACTTTTGTGACAGAACGCTACGAAGGGGTCACGTGACCGCCAATATCACATGATTCACGCATGCGCAGAACGGTGATTGATGCGAAGTAAAATTGGGGAGGATTAATGTAAAATAGATGTATAATCAACATTAAAACCAAATATTGTTTCTTTTATGAAATTTATTCAATTAGTTCAAAATTTTTTTGATCACCCATCCTATTTTTGTTTATTTAAACAAATACATACCTTGTGTAACACGTTCTCTGTTTACATAACAAATGTTTGAATCTCTAAATATGTCTCTGGTATTTCGATAACTTTAATTGAATTTTTGATGATCATAAAAATGTCAAATATTTGTAAAAATGGAATAAAATTAATTAAAAAATATTAAGCTAAGACTGTTGTCCATATCTCTTTCAAATTAAATCTTGTGTCATCTGTTCCTTTTTTTCTTCCGTGTTTGCTCCTCTCCAAAAGTGTTGTTTGAATGGACTTTATAGGAAGCACTCTTTAAGAGTGTTAACAGTTTATTAAAATAAGAAACATCATGATCAGCATATTGAATTCCAATGCAGACAAACACATATTAAAATGAAAATAATGAATGTTAAAAAACGCAGGTGAGTTAAGGCAACAGATATGCTTTTTCTCCGCAAAGGAGCTAATAAAAATTCATAAATTGTGTTTTTTATGTACAAGCATATTTAGATTTATTTTCTTATACATACCTATTACCGACAGTATATTATTGCAAGTGCATAATATGACGTCATATTAAGACGTCATAGTTCTTTCCCATCGAAGGTTATAAAACACATCAACAAAACAACATCGGCACAAGGGCATATCCTATTTAGTTTAAAAGAAAATTAAGGAGGATAATCTTAAAAGTAAGAAAACTGCTGCACAAATCCTATGCGCTTCTTCAAATGATTAAAAAATGACTAAACTTAAACTGGACTGTGTATTTTTACCCTGTTTCAACTAAATACTGTACGAATATTAACTTTACAATTGCAGTGTCGACATTTGTCAGCAATATTGTTATCCCTTGTAATATTCTTTTTCTTTTCATACTTTTTTCTGTAAAACAAAGTAATGTATGCCCTTGCGACGAAGCGATTTTGTTGATGTTTCTTATAAACTTGTGTTGTACAGGTCGATGACGTCATAATATGACGTCATTATATGTACCGTCTATCGGATATTGTGGGTACCAAGAATGTATTAGAAAAAAATCTTACTATTTTCTTTGCAGTATGTAAAGTTCCGAATATAAATAGAAATTACGGGTTTTAAGTTTTAACTTAACGTACCCTTAACTCACTTGGAATAATTCTAAATGAAAGTTGAAAAGGTAAACTTATAGGATTCACTTAATGTGCCATGTTTACATAAAAAGGATTAATTCGAATTAAACGTAAATTACTGCAAATAAAGTTTGAATCACATTCCCACGGAAAACTTAATCAGAATTACTTTAACTGGAATCATTTTTTCTGTGCATTAATAATTACTTCGCTTTAGTTCCGTGTGAAGGCTAAGGGAAGCCAATTCTAAATAAATTTTGATGCTTGGGATTAGGTCAGAATTAAGTCACAGGACACATGTTGGTGGTTAGATATAGGTATTTGTGCTATATTTGGTTTAAAATCAAAGAAAACGTTAATCACAATATGTATACCTGTAGCCTCTGCGATTATTGTATTGTATGGATGTCTCTGTATACATGACCTGGTGATATAAAATGTCGTCAAAATAGCCTTACAGAATAGCCTTTTTGTAGAGGTAAAATTTTAATTCGCATAAGATAACTTTGCTCTACATGTAGCTGGTGTACAATGTATGAACGCAGTATAATTTGCATTATAGTTTACTTACATGTACCAATGATTTACTGTGAATTATCAGTAAATTATCTGAGCAAATAGAGCATTATACTGTTGAGTTCGTGCATGCAAACAAAAAGAGTAGCCCTAAAAAGGGAAACAACCACACAAATTTAGGTCTTCTCATCCAAAAAAAAACTTCAACACCATGATAAATATGATGTAAAGAAACAATTATTGATTACAAATTGGAAAATATAATAAGTATAATTTCAAAAGTTGAAAATATCAAATGAAAATAATAATTTTGATTTAAAATACGGAAACATGTATTCAAGCTACTTCATGTTTCTTCCCAACCGAACGTATTGAACATTGAATTGAAAAGAAATACTGAAATGATGAATTTGAAATGATTAAAAAATTTGTTGATAATCATCTTAGTAGGTAGGAAGCCTCATGTTGAAAAGTAGGGGGTACGGTTTCAGCTTTATTCTGTCCTAAAACTTCCATGTTCCTTAAAAGATATGGAATCGGCTTTATTAGCTGATTACATGTAGTTCATCAGCTGAATGTGATAAATCAATAAAGAATATAGTATGAAGATTGACCATCCCAAATATATGACGTCATTAATATAGTACATTTCAAAGTTTTATGCAGAAAATTGTGGGCGACGCATGTGCTGTATATTTTCTGAAAGGAAATTTCATTGAATATTTATATCTTTTGTAATCTTTTTTACCTTTTAGGAGAATACGGGAAAATGCACAAGTTCAGCACGTTACACTTAGCATATAGGAGATCATATTGGAAAAATGATCTGTATGTTTTTACTGCATCATATGCACAGAATTTCAAGAAAACCGAAATGGTGAATATTTATTTGTCTTCTCACTTCCATATTTTAGAAGAAATAAAGGTCAAGATCTGTATTGAAACCGTATTTTTCCCTTTTTCATAAGAAGTTCATTTTAAAGAATTTAAAAAAAACTAGTTAACGGGTTTATCTATTTATTCTCAAAACCGAAAGTAGAGACCTGGATTTTCCACAGTTGAAGATTCTCCCTGCAGGTAACATTCAAGGTATGTATGTTATATACAGTTAAATTTATATGATTGGCAAAATATTCGTACTTTATTGTTATAAGTACACTTGAAACTATTAGTAAACATATATACTGGAATGTGGTAGGATATTACTACTATGCTGCTTAAAGGTGTTTTAATTTTAGAAGCGCCCGATTGAGGATGTAATGGTGATTTAACGACAAAACACCTTTATACAAAAGTACAACCCTTTTACAGATCCACAGAACTATGCAAACTAGTCATTGTTCCTAGTGAGTATTGAACAACAGAGAGATATACACGTATCACTGTGTTTAACGTTTTTAAATGGATATTACATGAATTAGAAATACGACAATACAAAGAGCATTAAGATGTGTTTTCTACTTATATGTACACACTATTTCATATTTTCAGAATATACATCATAATGGACCACATACCTCGCCTGTCAGAGGCTGTCTATGTAGGACTGTGTCTTAAAATTGGGAGTCCTACTGAAGTGAGGATCAGGAGAGTAGTGATGGACACTGATGAGGTGGTTAATAAACCTTTCAACATCATGAAAGGAGTCAAAGGACTTGACATAATGAGGAGTGGAAGTAGACGTGAGGGATTCAGATTGATAACCTCTGATCATGATTTTATGTTTTGGCCTTTAGACCACAATGTGATATGTGATCTCTCTCAGATCAGTCTCTATCGTATCCCACAACACACTGTAATTCTGATGGAATGTGATGATCTACCACCGGGGTTTACCAGACTTAATTTGATGAGTCCTTCTAATGATGAAGAAGTTAGGTCATCCTGTGTAGAGATCAATAACAAGGTGTATATTTCTAGTACATTATTTCGTGAAAATCACCTACGGGTCATACAGACCTTTAATTTTAGCTCTTCTTCTATCTCTCATGGACCTTGTTTAACATATTGCACGGGTAATAAAGAAACAGACTGTGCATTTTGTTTTCGATCCTATCACTGGCCAGCATTAGTTTTTGCCTGGATACATAGGTGTCGACGACAAAGATGGCCGTCCGAGGTTGTTTTATCAAATATATTAAGCTCAGGATTCCATGTTGTTCCTGTTGGCAGTACACCTGAAAGCAATCAAGAATGGAGACTTTCATTCTCAATGGCGGAACAAAAGTTAGTTTATTCAATGAACCACACTCAGTTTTTATGTTATGGTCTGTTTAAAATATTTCTTAGAGAGGTTGTCAATTTAAATGAAGGTTCGCCCGTTCTATGTTCATACTTTATAAAAACGGCTGTATTTTGGGTAATTCAGACTAACAACTCCTTGACTTGGACACCAGAAAACGTATTGCCTTGTTTCTGGCGATGCTTTAAATTATTGATATTTTGGGTATTTATTGGAGAATGTCCAAACTTTTTTATTCCGGAAAATAATATGTTCCGATTTAAAGTAACCGGATCCATGCAAACATTACTGTTTAATAATTTGAACGAATTGTATTGCAAGGGTATATCAAGTCTACTACTGAGTGAAACGTTACGACCGTTCCTCAGTCAGGCCATTTTATACAGAGGATTGAGAGTTTGTACTGACGAGGGTAGTATCATTACTAACACTGAGCTTGACATTACTTTATTTGAGGAACTCCATGATTATAGCCAAAGAGTTTCAAGTGTTTCAGTTTTCGCAGCTCTCATGAGGAACATTGAAATGGTTGTTAGTAAAAGATTGACGCCATACCAGGAGGCTACAATACAATATATTACATCAGAAGTACTACAAAACACTGCCATGTTGAACCTGAGTGTCGTGTGTTCAGATAACAATCGCAATAAGGTTTATTACAAAGCTAGTAGTGTATCCAGATTGTTAAAACTGTCATGTGCATTAGGTTGCGCCTCAAATATTCTTTATCAGGCAATGTACTTCAACAAAACGTGTAGATATGAAAAGTCACTCAGTTATTTACAGAAAGCTCTTAACAGAATAACAAAGCCATACGTGATGCACATGTACAAGAACAGTTATCATGTAAATGTAGACATGTTTAGACGTTGCACGATGGGGATGTCTCTAGGTCATAAAATGAGGAATGCTTTAGTGACAGATATTGCGTTATACAGTTGGTACATATACATAGATGAACTAGTACTAGAGCAGAAGACCAGTAACGATAATGGTATAAATATATTGTTCATCCCGCCTCTAGTGACGTTACACATGTTATTTATACTGAATCACCACAGACTGGGTGACACAATGACGTCACAACAATCTCTACAGGATCTACAGAATCTGCTGCTCTATGATGACGGGGTTTATGCACCTCCTCTTGTCAGAGATATTTCTTGGCAAATTCTAGGAATCTGTCAACAAACTTGTGGAGATTTTCAGGGAGCTCTAGAATCTTATGAGCATTCGTTACAACAAGATCCATATCACAAAATCCAGGAAGCAACACTATTTAGAATTAATACACTTTCTCGAAGATTGATTTATTAAAAAAAAATTGAACTCTATATAGCTGATATTGTCACTACTGTTTTGACGGTCATATTTATAATAATTGTAAGATTTGTTGTGATTATAGAGAATAATACATACCCTTTTCCATATCACATCCTGTATCAGCCCGAGACACCAATATCAGCCAGAGGGCCGAAGGCCCGAGGGCTGATATTGGTCGAGGGCTGATACAGGATGTGATGTGGAAAAGGGTATGTTTTATTATATTTATTACATACTTAGTAATAAAATACAGAACACATTCAGTTGAGAAGAAAATAAGTAAATAATCATGCATGGACTTCTTACATACATGTACATAGTCTAATGTCTCATACGATTTGGGTTTGTTTCTACTTCTATTTCAATGCACTTGATCCGTAATTTGAAAATATTCTATAGCAATACATGTATTTGTAAATTAAGATTAACCTTATTTTCAAAAAGTTAAAATTAAGAGAATATGAACCCACCAAAAAATTGTATATGATCACAAGTACTGTTATTGTGGTTTAATTTACTAAGGGTGTGATATTGACGTCACAATAGCCGTATCAGCCCTGCAGGGCTGATATGGATTTGCAGGGCTGATACGGATATCAGCCCCGCAAATCCATATCAGCCCTGCAGGGTTGATACGGCTATTGTGACGTCAGCCATATCGCATATGCAAAAAGCCTGTATTTATTACTAAGTGTGTAATAAAAAGAAAATATATTTTTTTTAATCTTAAATGCTGTTTGTATTCTCCAAATCTTCATCTTTATTTTCAATTGTATTTTTCATCGCATATAACTTTCTGTATACAATTCTTTCAATTTAATGTAGGATTATTTTGCATTTCATTTTACATATAAATCGGAAACATGTTTCTGAGATGCGGTAATACTGTTGTTTAATCATGGAAATGGGTAATATAGAGAATCTGAAAAGATGTCAGTTCTTGTTCCCCCTCTCCATTCCTTTAGATTTTAAGATATTGCAGGGAGCTTCGGAAGGCAATCTTGAATATATTAAAGAAATTTTGTGGTCAATATCATTTTTATAATTATATGCAGCGTAAAACATGAGGTTATAAAGATATTTAAATTTTCACTATCAATGTAATGAGCATAACATTGAATTTGTGATTAAAATACATGTTTTGTGAAAACTACACTTGATAAGTAATGTTTATCTTTCATTTCAGAACCAATGCATGAAATTAAAAAAAAAGCAAATTCTTTAATCATTTCTTCGTTGATATACGAGGGTTGATCCAAAAGTTCGTGGAATTTCTTTCTAAAATTTTAGCGTGATTAAATAAAACCAAACAATAGGCATATTCATAATATAGAGTCATAATGCAACAATATTGGAAAATTTCACCACTTTCCAATTATTATTAAAGTCACACCAGCTTTTTGAAAATGGATTGTTGTGAAACCCGGGGGAGACTTCGACGTAACGTCAAGTTGGTAATGTCACGTAATGTTATAGAAGCATCTCGCTCTTATGTCCAATTCGAATACGTAGTTCTACAAAATGCTGCCCTTCTCTCCATTTTTTTCTCAAGAAAAGCCTGGGTATCCTCTCGCACCAACTTATCTTCATTTTTTACTCATATTTCAAAATACTACCCATATTTCCATATGATGTTTTAATTTCAGTAGCAATACCAAGAACAGTACGGCAGCCGACAACGTCCATTAGCGCTTTTAATTTGTCTAGGGGGATATACACTTAAAACAGACCCTCCAAAAAGCGACCACACCGTTAATGATCGTCCTTGGAAGTTCTATTTTTCTTAAATTTCTTATGCCACCTGAGAACCAGTAACTAAATGCATTTTTCCCAAGCCTCTGTCAATAATATACGCGTTTAAGATAGAGTGATCCCGGGATTTTCATAAAAAGGACGACTTGACCGAACTTTGACGTTATCTAACAACTTAAAGATGAGCAAAAAATCATCAACTTATAAACAAAATATCCAGTAAAATCAGTAAAACTCTCACACAAATGTTTATAAAAGATCAAGCAATTGTTATAATGACAAAATTTTCGTTTTATATACCACATAGCGCGGTTTAAATCTTATTTCACGTATTAAGAATTTAAATGAAAATAAACGCGTTTATGTCTCCCCCGCATTTCCAAACAACCGTTTCTATGGCAACTGCCATATAATTACTATCAGAGATATTTAAAATGTTTTTTAATTTAAAATATTCATCAAGTGTCTATATTTTCCTTTGTAATTTTCAACCAATTCCACTTAAAAATAAATAAAATATGAAGAAATTCCACGAACTTTTGGATCAACCCTCGTACATATGTTTTATTTAAAGGATGGATGTGTGGTGAGAGGTCAAAGATATAAAATGAAGAAGAAGATCTTGGAAATATGTTCTTAAATCGTATTTTTCTATTCATTTTTATTCCAGAATTGAATTTTCAACATTAATTGATATTTTGTATTTACAAAGCGTTTGCTGTTGTAATAATATCTATTAATATTATTGCAACATAATGAACAAAGTTTTAACAGTCTCCTTTTTTACAAAATCACGCATTTTAACGCATATACCGTTGCTCCACAATCACGCATTTTAACACATATATCTTTACCCCACAATCACGCACTTTAACACACGTTTCCTTTTTGACGTTTTCTCTTCTGATAACGCGTAAAGTTCTGATGGTATGATAATAATTGGTTAGGTATAAAATTCTATAATTTCATTCTAATGTTTTTCATAAATTAGAATATTTTTCCTCATTTTGATATGTCGTCCAATTCATTTAAGGAGACTTGAAATGCGATTAAAATTAAGAAGGTTTTTTCCTTGACACCAAATAAGCTCACCGCTTGATCCATTGTTTTGTGATGTGGAAGTCCCTCAAACTTGTGTGCGATGGGACCCTTGATCCAGAATTGATCATGTCAAATGATTTTTTTTTCCAAAATGAATTCGCGAATCGCGGCGCTTTCTGTAAGTCCCGTCCCTTTTCCCAAACTACGTCACGGATGCTGAGGTTAGACAAACATCTCTTTATAAACATGGCTGCAAAGAGTCAAGATCAACACGTTTTTGCAGTTTTATCTGACTTACCTCATGACATATCCGAAAATTATGTAGAGGGAGAAATTTCCATGAAAGCAAGGCAGCAAGGCTTTAAGTATTATAGTGAAAATTATTTCTAGAGGGTGAAATTGTATAAAAGCGACAAGTAGAATGAAGTCCGAATTTACACAAAATGTCACCGCTCCCAACGGAAAAAATGACTCTCCGCATTCTTTAAATCTAGACGTATCACCAGGATCCTTGGGTTTGGCGCATTGTTCATGCACAGCTGGGTATGTTTTGTTTTAAAATTTGATGCACATGATTTACATTGAATATTCCGATATCTTTGCTGTGAAAATCGTAAAATTAAACCCGACTTTCGTTTTTTTTTCAGAGCCAGTGGGTCATGTTCTCACATTATTGGCTTGCTAATGGCTCTTCAGCATTGGATCCTGATGGGTTTTAAAGCAGTCCCTGATAATCTAACATGTAATAGTTTGCCCCTGCAGTGGTCTGTGCCAAGAGGAAGCAAGATAGAAAGTTCTGCTGCTCCCCAAATATGCATTATTAAACCCCACCCTTATAGAAAGCAGAAACCTGTAGAAAATGTTTTGACAGAATGCAGGTAACCAAAAATAATTAATATCATTAAAACCTTATAAATTAAATAACTTTAATAGATTCTGCCATATTAATGCGAGCAGCAAACTCGCTATGAATATCATGGCAAAGCATGCACAAACTTGCATGAATTGAGCACAAACTCAAAATAGATTCTGCCATATTAATGCGAGCAGCAAACTCGCTATTAATATCATGGCAAAGCAAGCACAAACTTGCATGAATTGAGCACAAACTCAAAATAGATTCTGCCATAATAATGCGAGCACAAACTCGCTATGAATATCATGGCAAAGCAAGCACAAACTTGCATGAATTGAGCACAAACTCAAAGATAGATTCTGCCATACTTATGCGAGCACAAACTCACAAAGATGAAATGGCAAAGCAAGCACATACATGCATGAATTGAGCACAAACTCAACAAAAATTGTATTAAAATGAATTCATAACACACATAGTAGCGACCTGAGATAATCACCGTGTGCAATAAAGAACCGAAACAAAATTCATTTTAACATCTTAAAACAAAAACCACAACAACAAAAATTATATCATTGTGGGAAACAAAAACTTACATTTTTGGAAAGCGGATAAACTATACTTAACTTTCCATCTTTGTGCATATTCTTAGGTTTAATTATTCATACAAATGTATTGAAGATTCACGAGATCTAAAATGCAACAGGTTTAAAAAAAAATAAAAATGAATGAAATTTTCCAAACAATCAGATCGTAATATCTTTCTACAACATGGAAGTTGTAATAAATGTGAAAGTTCAATTGATATAAGTTTCAACCTTGTGCTTTAACCTTTGGCCAACCGCACTTTGACCTAACGGTCAAACTCATTGATAAATTTTCAGGCCTCACCAGACGCGATCATGTAATTTAACATTTCGTAAATACTAAGGCTTTCAAATACATGATTTACCTAAAAATTCTGCATATTTGGCACCATCATTGAATACTTAAAACATATATTAGAGAGATTTTTAAAAATAAGAGTATTCATTACGTTGAGCGAGTGATTTCCCTAATGAGTATATTCCTCAGATGTTAAAAAATATCATAAATTTATGTTTCGATTATTTTAATATCAAATAAACAAAAATGCGAAATATATAATGTAAACTATTTGAATGCCTCTAAAATACAAAGCATGCATATAAACAAGGAATCTGTTTTTTCTAAATTTTTAAATGAAAATCCTAGTCAAATTAGATTGTATGATCTAAGCCTATATTTAAAAGGATGATTATTTTTAATTTAGAGACAGGTTTTATAGAAATTAACAAATGCTCAGTATGAAAATTATTTTGTAACACAGATTTCATACAATTTGAGAGAAATTATTTAAATTATTTACACACTTCCCTTGGGATTAGGGATACAGTCATAGGTTAGCATCATTATTTACTTATTTATTTATTTATTTATTTTTTTTTCAAAGATTCCATAGCAGTATTTTAAAGATTTTATTAATATTTTTAGAAGAATTTTTTTCCCCTTTATTTATTTAAATCAAAATGTAATTTCATATGTTTCCATGAAACCTATGAAGATAACATACAGTATTCAAGATCAAAAAGTCCATAAAACTGCTGTTGTTTTGAGACTAATAATCAGCTGACTTGTCAAAATATCAAGTTAACATGGATGTCACCATATCTGTGTTTTCCTAATAAAACTATGAAAATTTTAAACAATAATGTCTTTTCCCTGCATGAATGCCATGAGTCTCAGAGAGAGATAATTAAAGATAAGCAGAATCAGAAAGAGCAGAACTTTCCTGACATAGTACCAAGGTTTTTTTTTTTTTTTTTTTTTTTTTAAAAATTTATTAGATGGAAATGACTACTCTCTGATATGCGATTGGGCCCATTGGCAAACGCCTTGACCCCTATCCTTCATGTAGCAAGAAATTCCAGAAAACGACTGAAATTTTGCAACTTTAAACTGCCATGACTTTACCTAATTAAGATATCTTTAAGAAATAAAAGTTTTATGTAAGCTCTCTCCAATGATAGAGAATTTGTGTACAATTTCCCAACAACAAACCAACAAATTTTTAGCTAGGGTCGTTACATACTGTATAGTGTTTTATATCAATAACACGAGTAAGAGGTGGATGTAAGCTGTATATAAAAAATATATCATATTATTTATTTATTTTCTTTTAATATCTATTTATTTATTTATTTTTAACACATTAATAACACTTTAAAATGTGAGGTTAGGGGGTCAAATTAGAGTGCAATAAAAACAAGAAAAAATCCCCCTCTAAATATTTTTAGAAACATGCAGAAATGGCAGATTTAATGCTTTAAAGATACTTCCTGGTGCATTTTCATGGATATCTGATCAAATATGAAACCATTCACTGCCAAAGGTCCACTGAGGCCCAAAATCCACGGTGTTTCCAGAAAGAGATGAAAGGGGATCACAGGCTGAAGCAAGTTCCTTGTACGCATCCAAACATTAGTGTTGAAGAAAGCAGTCGAGCATCTAGGGCCCCGTCTGAGAATTTGGCGAATTTTGATTTGTTTAACCATGCGTTAAATGTTGCGCATATGCAATAAATAATAGCTTTAACCAACTGCGAAATGTTCGGAGTGCTACAGACCAGGTCATTTCCACCAATGTGTATGAATAGTAGATCCGATCTTACCAGAAAGTATGTGAATTGTCTTAGGAAGCATATTCTGCTACATGTAAATAGTAATAGTGAGGCACCCCTCAGCCCCTGGCCAAACAAGACACTTGACACTGTTCAATGCCAAGGCGGAAATCGAAGCAATCGAGGTTGAGGCTGACAGTCTGATTAAAACCTGCTCCCTTCTCCTTTCCTTGTGTGAAGCTGATAAAGTCTCTGAGATTTCATAAACGAAGGAATTGAGGAAATTCGGATTGAAAGAAAACGATCGTTTTGGAAGTCAGTAACAGGACCTGAGTAAGTCTGCTAGTACGACAAGTTGCACAGATGGACAGATCAAAACAATGGATCTTACAAAATTAACTGCCGCCGCACGGAACGATCACTTGATTATTACAAGGGAAACACTTGCTCTTTTGTTCACAAAAATTACGCGGCAGCACTCCGAGTAAACAAGAAGTATATAAATAGGAAGCCATGTGCGGCAATCTGATTGGCTGAAAACAGCTAAGGCCTTGACAAAATTTATGGACGCGGTAAAACTGGGTCACTACAAATTAAAGGTTTTGTAAAATTACAAAAAGATAAACACATTGACATCCACTAAAATACATACATGAAATTTTTAACATAAATCGCTTTATTTGAAAATAAACCTTATTTATTTTAAAAAAGAATTATTGTTATTATTTATATCACAGTATTTTACTGGTTTATATTAAATTTTAAATATAAATTTTAAAATTTTTCAAATTTAAATTTCAACCATCTCGAAATGCATTGTGGGTAGGGGAAGGTATAAGTTTAAGGTCTCTCATTGACACAAAGGTTCAGATGCCAATCTTACCCCCTTACCTCGACCCATGCCAATTTCAAAAGCATCATTTCTTCTCTTGTTGTAAAAAAGAATCGTTTTTTCCTTTAAATTATTTTTTAGATAACACATGTTGAGAATTGTGCATAAAACATTTAACGATAAGATAACTTATATAAATTTGAAAAACAACAGAATCAGAAGTTACTGATTAAGTGAATTTAATAACTTTTAAACATAATTAGTACTTAACACAAGAGGCCCATGGGCCACATCGCTTACCTGAGTAACTTGGGTGATGCAGTTCATAACCAGATTCCCCCTCTTCCTATGTTCTATATATTTCTATGTAAAACTTGGATTCCCTATAGTGGCCCCGCCCTACCCCAGGGGTCATGATTTAAACAATTTAATATCTACACTACCAGAGGATGCTTCCACATTAACACACTTTCCCGTCATGTCAGCTCAAGTATGCAGTGACCTGACGTCATTTTCTATTATGACTTCATATCGAGGTAGATTAGAGAAGTTACTACAGTTTTTGATATTTTACGGACAGCCTTATCCTAGCTGCACTAGCTGCAGAGTTTTTTTTCGTGCCAGCTAATGTGACATGGGACCTCGATTAATACGGTCTCATCCGGATGACCGGTTTCCACGTCCCGCAGTTCGATTTGAACAAGAAGAGAAGAAGGCAATGTTTAACTCTGAAAATAAAGGATATTAACATGACATTGTCAACATTAACGATAACAATGTGAATTTCAAATATAAATCATCTTCTAAAAGAAGATAAAGAGATAAGTACAGAACAATATGAGGTAAGATATATTTTTTTTTTCGGCGGGGGGGGGGGGGGGGGGGGGTGAAGGCTGCTGGATGTGCGGTTGGCTAAAACTTTATATAATTGAAATTCTTATCTTTATTTTAAGGCCAGATGACACATTTCTCAAATATATGTTTTGAATTTCTTGGTATTATTTGAAAAATAATGAATAACTGTCATCCTTTCTCGATTTCGATACTGTTTCAGTGTGTTTTTAAATAAGATTAGACAAAAATTTTGATATAGGCTATTCAGAAGATTACTCATATGGGTTATGTAATAAATATCACACTGTGATATCTGGATTAAATGCCTGGTAAGGTACCCTCGTTTTTGTGAGGAAACATGTAGCAAATTCTAAGGGAAAAATTATGTATTTTGAAGGAACGTGCGTGTCATATGCCCTTAAGAAACAGCGATACTTTACTTACTTTTTAGGGTTCGTCAATTGTACGTGATTACAAGACAGCTAGAATCGTTTTCCTTCTGAAACCCTTGTTTTTCTTATGTTCAATTAAACATTGAAAGTAATAATATTGCCATTGACTGCAAATGCTATAAAAACTGAAAATCATTCAGAATGTAAAAGTGAAAGAAATGTAATATCATCTTCCACAAAAAGGTCTTTAAAGATAAAGATTATTCAAAATACAGCAGTGAAGATGATTCTTCTGGATTAAATGATGAGGTCAGATTAATTAACATGTTCTTCTAAGGAATAAAGCTTACCTTAACCTATTTAATACAATATAAAAAAGCGTTTTTAAGAGGCGTAAACTACCCCAAGTTATGTTATATCATAGGTCTTTCCTTATAATTTAATTTCAGTGTGTACAATTAAATCTCCAAAATCGCTTCAAACGGGACTTGTATACTGAAAGGAAAAGGAAACACATAGAAAACTTTTGAATTAAATTAAAACTATTTTTTCGAATATGTTTTCCAAAATTCTTATTAACATTTAATTTTTTCTTTAATCAACAAGTTACCAAAATCTTGTGAGACTTTGACTGATAATTCATGATTTATTGGCATTGATATGTCGATAGCCCATAAAAATTATAGTAAAAATTCTCATCATCTAGCTTGTGCATAAGTAACATCCTTGATTCCCCTGAACATTGAGTTCATCAGAGCATTTATCTTTCTCACAAGATTATCATAAGCCAACAATTCCCCCTGCCCCATGCATCCCACGAATTTCCGATTTAAGATAGAATTTACGGAATCCAGTTGGTTTTGGTACACACGTTAATGTTTGTAAGAAATTCTCGTCAAATACTGGTTTCATTTTCCAAGTATAAACATGCTAAAAACATTACGCATACCACACGTACGTGTGCGTGTGAGAGAAAAATTCGACGTAAAGTTGCCAAGCTCGCTGACCAAATTAGAGCAGAGAGTGTCGGTCAGTATCGGGGTGAAAATTATGAGTGTGATTGTCTGCTGTATAAATATTGGTTTCAGTGATAATACCTTGACGATAACCGAGGTGGCATGACATAAAGCCCTATCTTGATGTGACTTTGTTACGCGCCAACGTCACCATCATGGTTGGTTGGAAACCTTTTAAGTTACTGTCTGACAACCGAAAAAAAACTTTTTTGGTTGAAAAGTTAAAAACAAACTGCACGGTAACATCAGCAACATATTGTTACCTTTTTATCAATCTATGCAATTCAATTACTACATGTAAACTCCGTCAGCCATACCATGATTGCAAGAAATTTACACTGACTGCAAATATGCAAAAACGATGTATATAACTCTAATACATCGTTTGGCACTAAATATTGTAAACATAAAATAGTCTTCATCAATATGCATGCGTTTTTGTCATTTTATCACTTTCCCAACGTGACGCATTACATTTCATGGTTGAGTAGTTTTGACATTCGATTGTAGTGCAACGTAATCAAAATACACATCTGACCAATTTTCATAATTCTCGGCCACATATTCAAAATAATTTTTGCATTTTATGTTCTCATGCGTTTTTTTTTTTCTTTCAGTATATTTAAAACTGATGTTAAACGGAATAATACGTTTTTGATGCACCTCATTGTGACATATGCAACTAATGTTATACGATATAGATTAAATATTTTTTTCCAAATAAAACGGTGCGTTACATCTAGATTTAAATTATTTGTTAGTCTCAACAATGTCTGAGGTACTGGTCGTAACATGTTTTATTATTTTTTTTTTTTTATCTAACACAAATGATAAAAGGAATGGGCAAGCTCTGATGACAATAAAGATAAGCAGAAGAAAGGGGTGAGCAGTCATAAACCTTTTACCCGACTAGTATACGATTCAAACTTTAAAAAAAGTCAATATCGTAATACTTTGAAAATGAAGATTACACATGTATATTCAATAGTTATGTATTATCCAGGATATCCAAGACCACCCTACGATTAAAGATAAGATCTATGATTGTGAAACATTTGCAGGATTTAGGATATCTGAGGCATATGAGGGAGGTGAGTTTTATCAAATGAAAGAAAATGATTTATTATCAATTTTATTATTATATAACATGAATTTCAAAATGTATCGTTTATCCTGTTCTGGACTGAAAAAAAAAACAAATAAAAACATCAATTAAAAGAATGCTTCAAAGGCAATATTTTAATTAGATAAAATAAAAGAAGGACAAAGAGTTGTGCTAAATCCAGAAGTCCTTACAAAAAACAGCGACACTCAAAGAAGAAACGTTTAAATTGGAAAATCTATAATGACCTACCTAACACATAAATTTAGCGGAGCTGGAATACATACAATATTGATTTCAAACTTATACCTGAGTTAAAATATATACTTCAACTTGTATTTATATTTGTGATGTCTTTTAATTGATAAGATGTTACATTGCCTTGAATTTTTAGGATACACTCTTTATCTACAATTGAATATGTTTGTCAAAAATTGACGCAAAATATAATTTTAAAAATGCATTATTTTAAATGAGTAATTCCTCTAATTTACTTCATCAATATGAGGAAACACAATTACCCTAAACAGCTGCATTTATTTTTATCTCGAGTCTCAATATGTGTTTAAAACCTAATCTTATTATGTTATTAAAAATACAAAATGATTTTTCGAAAATTCAAAAACATTAAGAGACAAAATTAATTGTAAAATTTAACATCGTATATTTATCTGAACTTTGGTTTCAGATATGCATGGATATATCAAAGCTGGGGATGATAAAACAAAGGTATGTGAAAATGTAAAGGAGACCCTTTCATTTGTGTTTTAACCATATCACCTTCTGATAGTACTGTTGCCATCTGCAAAAAGAAGTTGTAACATAAAAAAGGAATGTTATCTTTATTCGTTATATTAATGGAAACAAACCACATATATTACAATTAAAAAAAGTTTGTTTTTTCCGGGGAAAAGAAATACGTGTTTTTTTAGATTAGATAACATTTTCCAGTATTGCATATATTTTTACTGAAATAACATATAAATGCATGATAAGTATATTCCAACAGTATGAAAATGTATATTGGAGAGAATTATTTAGAATCATATTTTTGCACAAGAAAAATGTTACCATTCTTTTGAATTTTTGCGACAATAAGACTTCAATCCTTTAAAAACATCTCATGCATACGATTCTATATCTGACCAACACGAGTTTGATAAGTTTTTATCGGCATCTTTTTCTTTGTGTTAAAATGTTAGTGGAACAATAAGAGCATAGGGGTATCAAAGTGTAATTTCTCTAATCAACATGAGAAATTCTAATTATTTCTTGCCATAACTTGTCATAAAACGTTTTTCTTCCGTCTTGAAACCTAATAACAATTCATGAAAAGTTCTTTAGGAACACATTTGTAGTTCGTCAAACATTTTTCCTAAAATGGTAGAACTGTCAGTCAGCCTTCCAGAAGGAAAGGCAAAAAATCCCACAGGCTAGCTTTGCAGAGCTAATGGGTCGACGAAGTAAGGCCCTCATTGTCTTGCAGAGAGGTCTTACAAAATTTTGCCTTTCCTGTAACTGAAATGATTTGACTTTTCTGCATATTTCTTATTTTCCTGTCAACACCTAACGTAACGAATTCTAGAGTGGCCGAATGGAAAAATTTGTTGCGTGTTTTGATTGATTGTATATTGTTTAACGTCCCTCTCGAGAATTTGTAACTCATATGGAAACGTTACGGTTTGCCGGTGACGTGCTTCAAATTTAGAGCTATACTTAGCACATAGAGCCATTGAGAAGGGAGGGCTATTTATCGTACCAACGCCTACCGTGACACGGGACCTACATTTTTAAGATCATGTCCGGAAGAACTGTGACTTTCACTTCAAGTGCAGAGGCGAGTGCTTGGCAAGGGAATAGTCACTACCTATAGCTATGTTTACGTTGTAGATATGACGCAGCGCCGCGATCGAAAATCGAACCCGGGCCTACTGTTAACGAAGCGAGCGTGTTTTCGAACAAACTAATCAAATTTCGTGTTTATTTTGTCAAACTTCTGATATAGAAAGTGATTCTAAAATTAGAACTGAATTTTTTTTATGATCAAGTACATTTTTTGATATATATTTACCGTGGTAATTTTAAGCTTTTTTGTCCAATATACATGCAAGGAAAACGTAGTTTATGGTTATTAAAAACTAAACCCGTGCTGCTTTTAAAATATTAAGAGTAAAAAGTAGTTAATTTTATGATAATTATTTCCTTATTTTACTCATTCTTGAATTGAATTTTTGTATTTCCTTTTTTCAATCTTCCCTCGTCTTTTCTCTTTTTCTGTCTCCCCCTCTTGTGTCTTTTTGGGTTGAATGTGTGTACTAGACAGTTCAAACAAACTTTTTGTGGTGGCATTCAATTTAAAAAGAAATTCCTCAATTAGAATCTGCAGCTGCAATGCCTCACATTATCAAAAATTAAGTAAAATAAACTTACAAGTAGTTTTTTCGTCATTTCAACGATAAGCTGTCACATTTTAACAAATTTACAAATCTTAATTCAAAGACGAACAGAACGCAAAAATCATATTTCTTTTGTTTTAAATTTTTATTTGGAATATGTGAAAGTTATATGACTAACATGCTGTTTAAACCATTTCACATTACAGAACATGTTTGGTTCGTTATTAAAAAATGCAGTAGGAATTTGGTTTCAGAAATTATAATCTGCTCTATGAATTTGTCTAATTTCAAATTTACCCTCGTTTGAGAAGCGCAAAGCGAAGAATTAATACAAAAGATATAGAAAGCCAACAAGAAGAAAATGAGGTCAAGATAGTACAGGGTAGAAGCAGACTCCTGCATATCATAAGAAGTGTTTCTGGTATGTAGAATAATGAGAAAATATTTCAAAATTGTTCTTTCATTAGCTTTTTTTATTGAAAATGTTTTAATCATTTTTTATTAGAAAAATCAGGGGTGCCATGCTTTTACATCGTGGAAAGGACATTGTTTTCTCAGGATAAAGTTATCATTCACCAGAAAACAACCAAAGAAACAATACAAGTAATCTCCTTTAATTTAAAAAAACCTGATTGTAACCTTTTTGATTGAAAAAGTCGATATAATGTAATATGTGTTGAGTTTCAACACAATAACTTACTTGAAAAACATAAGCGTTCCATTTCAATTTTAACAATTAAATGACATTTTTGAGGCAAAATTGTCTTCTTTTTTATGCACAGAATGCTAGAAGATTAAATAAAGTGTTATCTTCATCAACGCATGTTATACCATTAAGGTAGCTTATTCAAATGAATTCTTTTACGCAGTACAGTTAAGGTGCACAATGGAAATATCGACAATATTTTGTAATAAAAAAAAATGTATTCATACTCGGGATGGCGATTATTTTTAGGACATTATTTATGTCAGATAATTGTAATTATGGTTAATAAGTACATACTGAGGACGATTAGATTTTATATTTAGACTTGTCACGTGATGCGGCAGTCACGTAATTTTAGAACTTTTAATTTCAGTATTGATGTTACCTATAAATTTCACTAGTGCAAGGGCATAATGAAGATAAAATTCTAAGTTTAGTTTATAAATATTTTCACACGCATTGGAGTTTCTGAAAAGTGCTGTGATTCTATCTAAATTCTGCAATTTCATTTTTAAAAGTATAGCTGTATGACCTAATGCTGTATTTTCAAGATTTCATCAGGATTGGAGCACTTTTCAAATACCTTAATACTTCTAGAGATGAATTATAAAAGCTTACTAAGATCCGTTTAGGTTATGCCCTTGCACTAAATGGATTTATTAAGACCCCCACGTCACCCTCCGATGTGCTTGCATTCAAATAAACAGCAGTGTCAACTGAATACGCAATATACAGAGAATGCATTAATAAAATCGTGGAGGAGACAATGAATCCGAATTACTGGCCTATAGAATATCTATAAATAATATTTTAGTTAATTATATAATACATTTTTCGTTGAAAAATATACTTGATCTTCCTCTCACTCCATACAAACTGCGTCACGTTTTACAAAATAACGTCACATTGACAAGTGGATTGCGATTAGTGACTTGTTTATACATTGTTATGTGGGATTTAACTAACGACAAAACAGCATGCAGCAGTAAGTTTGGATGTAGTTTGATAATTTCTTTCAGGTTAAATTTGCAAATCACCTCATTTTTGGTATTTTTAAGAATTGTTGTATGACGTATTATTGTATGATGTTAAAGTTAAGTTTTCCTGTACAAGTTAGGCTCCGCCTCCTTTTTGTAACCTTAATTGTGCTGCGTATCATGTTACTTTGAAATTTATTTCTGTATATTTAAGCCTAATCAAAGAACGTGTAAAGTCAAAAGCTTTGAAACTTACTACATTTAAACTTTTTATACAACCATTCCCCACAATAGTCCAGACTTTTTGATATCATTGACAATTCCTTTTTTAATATAAATGGAACTCGTTTATTTACTTGCGTGGTCATTGGTCATTTGCAAAATTATTTTGTTAAAACACATTCTTATTGCACACACAAGTACTCTGAAAAAGACATCAAAGATATGCTTGAGTTTCTGATTGTCAATATCTAAGTAGTTTTTGGAGACAAGGTATTTCAACAATCTATTGGAATTCCCATGGGTACCAATTGCGCTCCATTATTAGCGGATATATATATATATATATATATATATATATATATATATATATATATATATATATATATATATATATATAATAATTTGAGGGGAATTTGTGTAAAATCTTACGCGTGAAAAGAAGAAAACACTTGCTGTGGTCTTCAACTCGACATTTATATATATCGACGACGTAATGTCAATTAACAATGCTGATTTCCATTTCTACGTCGATACGATATATCCTAGTGAGCTTGATATAAAAGATACCACAGAGTCTGACACATATGTTTCATACTTGGATATTTTACTTGAAAAAGACATCAATGGCAATCTAACAACCGAGCTATATGATAAACGTGATGTGTTTAACTTTTTTATCCTCAACTTTCCTTAATTATGCAGCAACATAACTTCTTCACCTGCATACGGAGTGTATATATCTCGGTTGGATCGATACGCAAAAGTTTGCCCTACATATGAACAATTTCTAAAATAAGGAAAATTATTGACAAGCACGTTGATGAAACAAGAATATCAGCCGTCTCGTTTAAAGTCATTATTTCGTAAGTTTTATGGTCGATACTAAGACCTTGTCAGCAAATACAATTTATCATTGAGTCAAATGCTGACTGAAGTTTTTCATACTTATTGTTTGTTCATTATTTATACTCTGAATTGACGACGGATTTTTCCGTTATTTTCTGATCATGACAAGGAGCACACGGCGGGTGTGACCAGTCAGCAGGGGATGCTTACTCCTCCATGGTACCTGATCCCACCTCTGATGTTTGGAGGTCCTGTTTGCTCTGCTCTTTTTTGTATTGCTTTATGGACTTTTATGGACTATTCGTTATATCCATATCCTTCATGCATTTATCTTGACGTAAATGATTTTACTTTTAATTGTTCTTTCTCTGTTTAGATGTTGATTAAAATGGGAGAATATGCTTTCGAAAGAGGCGATTATAAATCTGAAGAAAACGAAATTAAATATTTCCAATGCATGATAGAAGGTACTGTATATGATAAGAATTGACTATATTAAAATTGCTGTTAAATCACACATTTTCATGGGTGGGTGGTTTGGTTGGTTGGTTTAATTTGAAATCTCCACGAAGCAAGATTATTTCTTTTAACCATGAAAATTTGACTCCATAAAATATCTGATTTTACAGTATAATAACTGATCTCATTCGTGGGTATCAATTAAACAATATTGTTAATTTTTTTAATCAGTTTTAATCTACTTTAAAATCAAATTTTAACACACTTGTTCAAGTTTGAGTTGGCGAAAATTACAAAATGTATTTACCATTTTAATATGACTTTACCGGTATCAAATTGATAAAATTGATTAAAAGTAGAATAGTTCCTAATATTAATAGAACTGATAATAATTAGTTGATTATATTTTGGTTAGTATGTGAGTTTTTTTTACAGCTGCTTCTGGTCACGTGGTACTTCCTGTTGCCTTATCCCTGGATAATGGCGGATTTCAAAAACAGATTGTTGATAATGCTGTTGACATGAAATTTCCTATTATATCGTCCAAGGTACACATTATATGAATTATGTTTAATTACATGACTAGTTTTACTTTTGAGGATTACAAACACAAATATATTTGCCCCAAATCAGTAATTTTTTCATAAATTACTCTTCATAGGTATCATGCAAGTGATGCCCCCTCTAATGTTTTGGAGGTCCGTGTTTCCTCTGCTCCAATTTTGTATTGTTTTGCAGACTTTTGATCTTGAATACTGTTCCTTATCTCCATTTGTTACATTTTCTTGGTAGTGTGAGAGTTTTGTAAATGTGTCACAATGTTAAAAATATTCGTCAATTTTATTTAAAGAATTACTTAGAAAACGATACAAAGTGGCGTTTTAAGGACCAACGAATTCCCTCATTTATTCTAGGGATTTATCATTAAAGTCATCTTTATTTATAATCAGCCAAAAAATGCATATATATTAACCCATTCATCGATTTTGTGTTTGTAGAATGTACCCTTAGACCTGGTATCTCCTAAATCTATAGCAGACTTACCATGCAAATATGATGTAAAGTTTAAACATTATTTATACTTCTGTTCTCGTTTTTATTTTGAAGAAATCTACCAAAGATGCAACTGTGACCTTAATCAATCCTTATGGAGACCATCATAATAAAGAGGAATATAGCAGTGTTCTATTAGTAGTGTTGTCAAATCGGTTAAAAATCGGAATCGATTAATCGGTAGCATCGGTTGACCCTAACCAACTGATCATCGGTCAATAATCGAATCGGTAACCCTTTGCATAAAATACGCATAATATTTATATAAAATTTAGAATTTTATTTTTAAATAATGTAAGTTAAAGGTGCATCGTACAGATCGAAATTCTAAAAACAGTATATAGTAGTATATACGTGTATATATGTAGTATGATTTACAATTTCAGTAAATTGATACAGATTTTTGCATGATTAGGAATAACATAAGCATTGACAGACCAGGTTTTAATTTACATGATTATCTAAAATATATCTGGAATTAATTTTTTAAACTGTTATAAGACATTTACCGTATAATATACTCGCCTATAAGTCGATCCGCCTATAAGTCGGTTGTATTTAAAAAGCTTATATTTCAGATGGACTGACCTCATATAGTTCCATTCTTTTTATAGCTCGCCTATAAGTTGGACACAGAGTTTTGGACCAGAAATTGACTCCCAAAAAACCGACTTATAGGCGAGGATATACGGTAATATTGCAAATCCTTGTGATTCCGCATGAAATAAAAAGTGAATTCCCCCAAATACTGAAAACTAATATATTTCATCTATACAAGTAGTTTAGTTTCTTCAGTTTAGAAATACAATTATCATTATCTTATGATTATTTTTAAGCAGATTTTAAGTACATGTATTTTAAAATAGGTCATAAAGGAAAACGCTTGGAAGATATGTATTTGATATAAACAAGAGCCTGTTCTTCAAATAAAAGTAAGAAAAAAAAATAAAAAGATATGTGCTGAAATATACCGATTAATCGATTGTTAAAATCTCAAATCGATTGTCTAAAATCGACAGCCTTTCTGACCGATCATCGATTATAAATCGATCATCGTGACAACACTATCTATTAGCAACGAAATATTTATTTAATATTGATAAACCCTGGAAAGTAGAAATGGAATACGACGCTCAAGTGTGTCGCAATGATTTGACTACACTAAAAGACGCAAATGAAGCATCATTTACTGATGAAATGCCACATGAACTTTACCATTTGGATACAATAATATGTTGTACAGTTATTGCCGGTTCGTATTTATAAAATGGAATCACGTAATAAAAACCTCACACTTCGGGAAAGATACTAACAAAACAAAAATTTCAAGCATTAAAATACAATAAAAATAAAACTCATTAATGGGTATTTTGGAGAGGATCCTTAAAATAAAATTCTTTATTTAATATCTAGAAGAGAATGAGTCTGTATTGTTGAAATTACATTATGCACAATAAAAGTAAATTGTAGTTTAGGGAAAATATTGCATATACGGTAATATGTTTGTTTATTTTTTTTTCTTTTTGTCCATTTCAGGGTTTTTATGAATTAAGGTCCTTAATTTATATGATAAAAGTATCTAGCATAACTATAATATAGGTGTCATTTTTGGGTTCTTATTGTATAACTTACGAAAGTCTTTCTTTCAGTGTAACAAATATATGATAAATTATCAAATAATTCAAACATAAAAATTATATTGAGCTGCATGTATTGTGGTGTCTTGCTTTAAAATCACACATTTTTGAGGGACTCATATTTCCATCGCTTGAGGAAAAATATTGGTTTATGGGGATAAAATTTCGTGGTTGAAAAATTTAGCATTAGAAATATAAGTGTAAAATTGTATTTCGTTGAGGACATAAAGGATAAGATAGGGTAACCGCCGAATTTGTCCCCTTATTTGATATAAAATCAGAACACTGATAAGATTGTGATCGTTTGTAGTTAAGAGGTTAAAATGATGCATACTTTAAAACAAACAGTAATATAGATTCTAAGCTTACATGGAAGCCACTAAAGGTGCAGAAGCAAGACATTTTCAAGAATTTCCAAAATTCTTGTGGAATTTCATCATACTTGAGATATTTATCTCTTTTGAAAAGATAAAGCACTTACTTGCCTATCTGAGATTTTTACACATAAACTGCATCTGATATTAGACTATAACATAAATAAATTTGGAAGATATGCAAGCGTGTGCTCTATGTCTTCCGAAACAAAATGTGCTGCAAAATCGATGAAAATCTGCATAAAAATTAGAAATTCTAAAATTGACCTATTTTCTGACCTCACTGTGACTTCTATATATTATAAATAGTAGAACCAATACCCATTTTGTGGCAGGGGGGACAACAGGTTCTTATGGATAAACCGTTGGATAATTCTGAAAGACAACCAAAATCGGGGCCAAATACGGGTCTTACCCTATCTTGTCGTTTGGTGGTCTCTTCATACCTTGGAAACCCCGAAAAATAAACCCACACGAAATTTAGTGGTTTTACAGTATCTTAAAACAAACAAATGTGTTTTTTACAGTGTGCATGACAGAAGGAGCTCATAGTGATTTCAAGGTGAGCTCATTATTTTTAATCGAAATATATAGTAGTAAAATAAATAGAATACCTTATATCAAACCTTTATAGTTCGATAGGAATATAGAAAAAAAACTATATGTTTTTTTTTAATCTACGTTTTAGGAAAAATATGCCAATCCTCTGTGTATGTATCTTTTAAAAACTGGGAAATGGAAAATTCCGAAAGACTGCATCAAAAACTTTTTTAGTCATCGTTCCATTGAATATATTTTTGAAAAGGTATTGCATGTTTCATATAATTATACAAGTACACAATTTTCCCTTCAAAACATTGCTTATTTTATCTTTAGAGAAAAAAAATCTCATGAAATAAAAGAAATTCATGCATACATCTTGAGAGAAACGTTTAAAGATTTTTTTACTTAATTTTTTTTTCTATTCATTTATTTTAAAGAACATGACACAGGAGTTCCAAAATGGTCTTTGGATGGATATAAAAGAACTGACTAACAATGTATACCAGCCTCCTGTTTGGGATGGTAGGGTTTTTTTATTCCGTTATTCAATTCTGTTTGGGAAATCTTTAAATTAATGTTTTTTTTGCTCTCTTGCGACTCAGGGTAAACGTATTGGGTATATCGGTAGGTGGCTTTTTTCTCCTGAAATTTTAAACAAATTCATCGATGGACTAAGGAAAAAAAATTAAAGAATATATATAGTGCCCTGTAATGTTAAAAAATAAAATAATAAAAATTAGTCGAGCAAATTTTAGTCAGTCGGTCAGAGAGGACAACCAAACTTAATTTTAAAGATGTCATTGTAACAAATATTTTAAGTAGTTTTAGATCGAAATACAGAGCTGTATTTCTATATTTTGCGACATTAACTATCAATTCTTGGTAGTTAAGTACAATTATAATTTCGAAGCATTCTTGGAAGTAAAAAAAAAAATAAATCAAATCATGTAGTTTATAGCGCAAAATTCTAAGTCAGAAAGTATTCGGTTTGCTTTTTAATAAATTTCTGAAATAGGCATCAAAAATGCTTTCAGTGAAGTATTTTTTTTTTTGTTTCCCTTCTATTGATTTATTATATGAGATTCCCTATTTTGTTCACATATTGTATCTCGGTGTTTTAGAAACCAGTGTTTTCTCTCCTTCAAAATTGTATTGTTTAATGAAGATTTGATCGCAAATACTTTTTTTTGTTATCTCCATATATTTGACAGTTCGAGACAAAGAGCTTAAAACTTCAATTTCTGGGCTGTTTGGACTCATCTTTTTAGCCTTGTTAAAAAGAAAATTCTACGCCGGCGCAAAGCAATTTATTGAAACAGGATGCGTGAGTTCTTATATATATATAGAATCATTTTTCACTTACATTTATTTGTTCATTTTTATCATTTGTCACTGGGACCTATGAAATTTATTTTGCCATATCCATCAATCGTTATATTTGCTAAATTTTAATGGCTGGGGATCCTAGATAAATTCGCTATATCTGTGAATTTGTAATATCCGTGTCCATACGAATTTTACTGTATTTGCATTTACATTCCAAAATGGATTTTACAATGACCCTGTAAAATAATGAAAATTCGAAACTTTTAAGTTTAGGACGACAATGTAATATTTTATTCAACGGACCTTTGGTCCGTGAACTGAGGGTTATGACGTAAGCTTTTCTTCTAAATATATTATGACTTCATGAAATCTGTCATTTTTCATATTCTGTAAAAAGTGATCCATGCTCTTTAATTATGAATGTAATATGATAGAGCTTTTAAAGTAGATGTTCACTACTAAATGATGACTGAGATGTTGTACATATAACACTATCATGGTAACCTTTGATTTTTGTTGGAGCAGACGAAATTACAAATGTTTACTTATAGGAATTGCTAAGTGCTCTAATAATAATAATAATAATAATATTACAGTTTGATTGATTTAAAAACTTATGTGCACATTTCATTCCTGTAAGTTTTGTACTCACATGTAACCAATTTATTAACGCCTTTATGTTGGTAATGTCATTAACAGGTGCGTATTCATTTTATTCTTGTTGGATGTGTCATTCTACAAGAGGCCGTGGATGACTGGAGAACAAGTGAAGAGGATAAAGAAAGATTCGAGCTGATGATAAAGTAGGTGTACAAAATATGAGATGAAAAGAAACAAAATAGAGAAATCAACCAGTAATCAAGCTTGAAAGTCTATGAAACAATACAATTCAGGAGCAAAGCAAACACAGACCTCCAAAACGTAAGAGATGGAATCTTAAACTCTTCTGTACAAATTCGACCCACGACGTAAGGAACAACTCCTTACTTCGCGTCCCTAGACCAGAGACGTTCTAAGAACTGCCCCATACGGGACTGCTGTCTTTTTAAGATTATTTTTGCAATGTTTATCAAAAAAAAAAATACCGTTTACGGTAGCTCAGTTGGTAGAGCGCTCGCTCCGTGACCGGTAGGTCGTGAGTTCGAATCTCGGCCGCGACGGACCAAAGTCGATAAAAAATGGGTAGCAACTGTTCCTTCGCCATGAGCTCGGCACTTTGAAGTGAAAGTTGGGGGTCCTTCGGATATGACCTTATAAACCGAGACCCCGTGTCAGCGACAGGCGTTGGCACAATAAAGATCCATCACTGCTCAGAATTTGAAGCCCTTCACCGGCATACCATGACGTCTCCATATGAGTGAAAAACTCTCGATAGGGACGTTAATCAATCATTCAATCAATAAAAAATACACTTCAATATCTTCTTTCAGAATCATACATGTTTTATAAGTTTTCAAACTGCTATTTTTTAACTGTCGTTGTTATATTTATGTTTTCTTCGATGTTTATCAAAAAGAAATTTGTTACCCGCCAAGGTTTTTGTATTATGAGTTGCATTATATCCTAGTTGAGCTGGATCAGCTGTAATTGAGTAGTAAACAAACCGCCCAAGACGACTGGTCACACGTGTCGTGTGCTTCTTTTCATGATCAAGAAATTTAGCATTTACATAATGGCCTAACAATAATAATGATAAAGTTCAATCAGCATTTGACGTCATATATAAGTATAATAACATACATGTATAATAAGGCTCAACTATGATATATGGATAAGTAGTCCCGGTAAAAAATATTTTCATACGCCAAATTTGAATAAATGCGTCTTGCTTTATAATCGGATTCATGCGACAAATTCAAATTAATGCGTGTTGTTAAATAATAAAAAGGAAATTAGAAGACTTTTTCCAGCAGAAGATTGATTGACAGGTAGACAAGTTGACTGGTAGACAGGTCGACGGGTTGACGGATCGAATGGTTGACAGGTAGACAGTTTGACAGGTCGACGGGTTGACAAGTCGAATGATAGACTGGTTAACGGGTAGACAGGTCGACGGGTTGTCGGGTTCGACAGGTCGAGGGGTTGACAAGTCTACTGGCTACTGGTAGACTGGTTGACGGTTGACAGGTCTAGGGGTTGACAGGTAGACAGGTCGACTGGTTGACAGGTTGGTGGATTGACAGGTCGACGGGTAGACGGGTCGGCGGGTAGACGGGTCGACAATTATACAGATTGGCAAGTACACAGTTTGACGGGTAGAGAGGTAGTGCGTTGACAAGTCGACTGGTGGACAGGTAGACAGGTAGACAGGTCCACGGGTAGACAGGTCGACTGGTTGACAGGTCGACGGGTTGACCCCAAGGTGGAATAGAGGAATAGCCCTAATCTATCATGTTCGATAACTAACCCTTATCTCTCAGGTGGGTTTAATAACTAACCCTAATCTCTCAGGTGGGTTCGAGAACTAAGCCTTATCTCTCAAGTGGATTTGAAAACTAACCGTAATATCTCAGATGGGTTTGAAAATTAATAAGATGGGTCAACTGTCGACCTGTCGATCTTTTTGTGATGACATTGTAAGTTAACCAATAAGAGGTATCAACTGTCGACCTGTCGATCTTTTTGGTGACACTGTTGATTAGCAAGAGGTGTCAATTGTCGACCTGTCGACCCTTTTGATGTCAATGTAGGTTTAATGTGGAATTGTCAAGCATTTTTTGTAAAGGGGACTTCTTATGGACTATTTTTAAAAGGATTTATTTGTAGTAATAAGGCAAAATATTCCCAATATATTTTAAAAGGATCTATTGCTTATCAAATTTTAAAGTTGAAAGATGTTAATCGGTTTTATGGAACTACTTATACTATCCAAATTTGTTTTATTTGTGAGCTTGGGAACTGCTCGATATCTCCAAGTATATCAAAGTAAGACGGCTTCTTGTTTACCACCATAATTACTGAAATGCCTTGATTATATTTTCAATTTTTATTCTTAAAAAAAAAAAACATATTAGAATTTTTTCATAGAATCGTACATGCCTCAGATGGTTTCTTGTTAAATATATTTGTATTTACCGGACAAACTTTTTTTTTTCATTTATTTTGGCAAAGCCTATCAATTTGTTTTCATTGAATTATAGATGAACTGAGACGATATAATGATAAATTGAATCAAATTTCTAACACTGATTTTATCTCTATGTACCCTTTGATTGTTTATTAATAGAAAATTTACACATCAAGCTCTACGAATCCTCAGTTGTGTACATGAAGCAGACAAACAAAAGAATGCAAAAACACAAGCACAGGAAAATAAAACGGAATCATTCACTGGAGAGGAAGAAATATTATTAGGAACAAATATTCAGCATTCTGGCAGACTTCTCCTTAACCATGGTTATCTTACTGGTGGCATTCAAACAGAGAACAAAATTTTTCTTGACAATGAAGTTGTTAAAAACATTCTTAACCAGATGTGGTACGGTAGTGAAAAGGATACCAAATGCAAAGTTAGTGTAAATACTTGTTTTCAATTTTTGTTCATTAGAATCACACTTAAGGAGACCTGCGTCAACAAATTTTTCATCAGATATTACTCATTTTTTTAGATATGATTCCTTAAGATGTCACCTATCATTTGACGAAGAAAATTTTCATACAATTTCGTTTTAAAATCTGATAATTTTTGTATATTTTTGTTTATATCTTAATATGGAGCTCTTCTTAAAAAAATCAAAAAAGTTTTAAAATGGTCATGACCACCCAGCCCTCTTAATTTGAAAAAAGAAGGATAGTTAATGTTTCATAACAACCTTCATTAATTATTAACTGTTTAGTTGAAGAAGCTAATTATTATACCAGTTTTGACAAATTATTACAGGATTTAACAATTCGAATTGTTCTTATTTGTCATTAAATTTCCAGGTACTGGGCTTTGTGCTATTGGTAATTCTTCATGTCATTCTACTACCGTTTCTGATGATAACACTGGAAAACAAACGTCTAAAATGGTAAGATAGAATGTAATATTTACATTTCAATTGCATTTACTTACAATGAATTGGACTTGAATTGCATGACAACAGGCTTTTGCACTTTATTTTTAAGGTTGTACAGGCAATATAAAGTTCCAGTTATGAAGGTTTTCTTGAACGTGGTGAGTATATATAAAAACCCTGAAAGGATGCTTAATCCTCTTAGGCACTTGTTCCCGCCAATGTCCACAATACTTCCTTGTTATTGGTATTTGAATGATATTGGTTGTAGATGACGCTGCTGGTTATCTTTATATTTATAATTTTACTTTTAGCTGAGTCTTCTTGCTCTCCTGACAGGATATGCTTATATGCTTCTGTTTGACTTTGACAAAGGGATATCTAACACAGATATTTTTGTTATTTCCTGGATGATCAGCTTTTTCTTTGAAGAAGCAAAACAGGTATTTTTTTCTGGCCCGTTTAATCATATATCATTCCGTACAGTAACTTATATTAAAATTATAATATAATTATATAAATTATTATTTACTGAGTTAATTAAATTCTGCATATTCTGCCAACCGCTTTAATTTACCTTGCTAAATATTCACTTTTTTAATCCATACTAGAATAACAAATATTATTAATATCATTATCCCTTTTTACTACATCTTTTTAATATTTACATAGTCCGATGTACATTTTGCTGTAACTTATTTTTTATTGATTTTGACCATTACATTATATCTTTACTGTGTTCATCTTCTTACGTGTATAAAGTAGAATTTGAATATAACGTATTGATTATGAAATATCAATTGTGTTCTTGATGTATCTTTGATGTTATAAGTCAAAAGAATAAAAGGATTCTCTTAATAACTTTTCATTTACGGGAACTAAATTTTGGCGTACATTATTACGCGAGACTTTATGCTCACGAAAATTTTATTCTCGTACAAATTTCTTTTCCTTTAGATGAAAATAGCAAAATACAAGAATTTGTAAATAAAAAACGCCTCACAAATACATATTACGACTATTTTGCTAAAACTGTATGTTGCAAAAATAGAGTGTTCTTTTGTAGTTGTTCAATGTTTTGTAACGTGTTGTTTATTTACAATCCAAACTGTCAAACCCAACACTTTTTCGAAACTTTACACTGCTATATCTGACATCAATTTTCTCTCCCAAGTTAACTTTTTTCATGATTTTTACACTGTGCAATTTCACATGTTTTCTATTTTGACAAAAATTTCGTCTTCTAGAGCATGTCAGACTAGACAGGTTTCACTGTGTACACAATGGCATTTCAGGTGTTCATAGCGGTTATAAGGCAAAGAAAGAAGCAGTATATAACAAACCCATGGAATATTCTTGATTGGTTGTCTTTGACAACGTACACATGTGGCATGCTTATGAAAACTGAAGACACGAATGACTTCTTTACTGCATCTAAAGTACTGCTTGTTGCAGCTTTCATCATGCTCAGTATACGAATCCTTCATATGCTTTCAGTGTCCGAGTTGTTGGGTCCAAAGTTAGTTATCATCCAGAAAATGGTAAATAAATCATAAATAGAAATATTAATAGCTGTTGATATTCAATATTTAAAGATAATACATGTATATCAACCATCATAATGGGTTTTTAAAAAATAGAAATGCTTACCATACAAAAATTGTAAATAGATAAGAACACGTATAAATGCTGGTTTTTATTTTTTTTTAAAGATTTTGAATGAATTTCACCAAATAATACATATAATGATATGAATTCACATTTTTTTTAATTCAATATATCTCAAACTGTAATTGAGATATTATTGTTATTTAATAAATGAAAAAAAGAAATGTACTGAGTTTTTATAAAATACAGTTTACAGGAAGTATCTTAGAACAATGTATACAAGAAATTAGACTTTCTTTCTCTTATTTCTGAAAAAAACGCTTTATAATGATTTCTGACAAGATAGGCTTTCACAATTGTATTCTGTTTACCCATAATATAAGGTTATGAATGCAATGCAGTACGTGCCACGTGAGAATTGCTTTTCTGTTTTCAGTTTAAGGATACATTTGCTTTTATGGCAATTATGTTTGTTATCACCATGTGCTACAACATCTCCTACCACGCCATACTATATTCTGAAAATTCGGAATTTACTTTTGAGGAACTGGAGAAAATAACGAAAAATGGATACTGGATGTTATTCGGAGAGCTGAATTTGGAAGTAGAGAGATGTGAGAAAAAAAATTCAAATGAAGATTTAATAAAAAAAAATAATTAAATGAACATTTTAAATTAATTATTCTATACTGTTAATGATAGAAATCAGTCGTTGGATTTATTTGATATGCCTCAAAAGTTTGCTCCTGTAGTCTGAACATATTAACTATGTATTATTCCGTACGTAATATAGAATTGATGCGAATATGTCTGGTTTCACGAATGGCAAAGGTGCCTTAATGGCTCAGATGGATTTAGGCTGATAAGCACATATAGCAAATCCTTTTTTTTTTATTATTAACCTTATTTCTTGAAATAAAAGGAGCACTTTTTCATTCTTTAATTTCAATTACTGTTCTTAATTACTTATTTGCACTTTCTCACGTAGATATATACGGTATGTTACAAATAGTTAACATGTAATAAAATATATTTAAACATTTCTTTTTTCAGAACACTTTCTTATATCATTTGTTGACCATTGTCAGCAATATAAAAGCTGATACTTGTTAAGGTCTGATACAAAATGTAATAGGGTGAATTCACCATGCATCGGACACATACCTTGCTTCGGACAACTTTAGACAATAAATTCTCTTTCAACTTCAGAGTTCCGTGTATTTATTTGTTTCTGTCTAGAAGCTGAAGATTTAAATTTTTTAATGGTACCGATTGTTATTATCATGTTGTGATAAAAATACCCCGAGAATGGCCTTGAAGTTACGTCATATTTTACATCATCAAAGGGGAATAACCAGAAATTTATGATTTTGCGATTTTTAGAGTTATCGTTCTTTAAAATTCGACTTCAGCGGAACGAGTCCGACTTCGGTAAATAAAGTCAAAGATTGGTAATTTTACATAAATTTTAAAGAAATTTCACTTCAATGTTCGTATAATTCTTTATAGAGCTGGTTTTCACTAGTATGTTCATTTCTCCGTACATCGGACACAAATTAACCATGCATCGGACACTTTCCGATGCAATGGTAAGTACTACCATTTTCATACAGAACCCAGCTGATAGCTGTTTTTTGCGGAAAAGGAAAATAAAAACTCTATATTTTCAGTAAAAATACAAGTTATCGATATACAACGTCTGGAATTTGACTCAATTTATTTCTACAAACCAGAGTATGATGAACCATGAAAAAGGGCGCGAATTACTGCATTATAAGCATTTTAAAGCATTTCTAAAGCAGACTGAGGTCTCTTGAATCGTTCTACATTTGTGCAACGATATCGTCAATTAAATTTAAGTTGAGGGTTATTTCTTAGACAAAAGATAAAAATATATCCATATCAAGCATTTTTAAGCACTTTGATAAAGGTATGATATTTTTCTGGTCAAAATACCGTCTGTCCGATGCATGGTAAACAATGTCCGGTCCATGGTGAATTTTGAGTTATCACTAAAAACTCGATTTTTGAGGATATTTTCTCAATAAAGGGCATATAATTGTGTCCCAAATTGATATTTTAATCACAAACTAAATGTTAAACTCTATTTTGATAATTTTCTGTCGGTAGCGATATCGCTAGAACTTGCTGAAGTACAAGGGTATCCGATGCATGGTGAATTCACCCTACAGAAAATAGAATGCATTATTCTCCATTATCTAGAAGACAAGTAATTTACTTGCAAAGATAAAAAGAAATTGATAAAATATGTTGAGATAACGACAAGCATTCAAGTTTAAACTTTCATTAAATAATACAAAAAAAAAGCGAAGGAAACACGAACCTCTGAATCTTCAGGGATGGGATCAGGTGCCATAGAGAAGCATCCCCTGCCGACTAGTTTTTCCAAAACCAAATCTTTTTTCCTAATAATTATTATCTTTGATAATTCTAGTGACGGAACCTGATTGCACATTTAACCAAACTGAATATAGAGATGGGTCACAAGAAAGATGTCCTTCATCACTAGGGAGGATTCTGGCCCCCTATCTTAAAGCCGTTTACGTGCTCACGGCAGTCATACTGCTTTTAAATTTGCTTATTGCCATTTACAGGTATGTCCTAAAAATATTGCTTAGAAGTATTATAATTTATAAGAAGAAAAGAATAAGGCCTTGAAAGCAAAACCAATAAAAATAGTTCTAAAGAGAGAAAATGAAACACATTAAATTTTACTTAATATCAAAAGCTTTCGTTGTCAAATGATGTTTAGAATGCACAATTAGTATATGATATTCTAAAAGGATATTTTTTTTTTCATATAGTCAAAATAAAATGTCTAAGAACTTTTATATGAGATCAGTTTCATAAAAATAGCACAGGATCTAGCAAAGTCATCAAAATGCTTAGGTATTTCCTTTCTTTTTACATTCTATTTAAGAAAAGAAGTTGAAAACTATTTTTAAGACGATGGATTCATTCAGGAGGTTACATTTATTTAAAGAAATATACCCCAGCTTTTGATTAAAATTGCCTATAATAGCGTCTACACTTAAAGAGGGTTACATTTTGATAAATTTGATTTGATATAAAATGCATAGTGAAATTTTTTTTTAAATTTTTTCATAGTAATACGTTTGCTGAAGTTCAAGAGAAGTCAAAGTTCTACTGGTCTCAGCTCCAAACTGATTTTTTGGAAGAGTTCAGTCTGAAAAGCATTTTTCCTATACACATGCAATTATTAGCGATTCCCTTCTTTGTCATCCACGCTGTTGTTTGGATTGTGACTTCCAGACCTAAGTGCTGTAATTCGTCAGCTAGAGATGATAAATCAACTAATGACCATGCACCATATACGCATGGAGATGATATAAAAGAAATGGAAAGAACCCCCATGTTTGTAAAAGGTCAGTATAAATAAATTACTTGCTTAAAATGGGTAGGATCAGTTGAGAGGGGTTGGTCCTCGGGTTTGTTTACTTGAATAAGTTTTTTGTTTTGTTTTTATTTTACAAGAGGGAGTGATTTTGGAAGAACTGATTTTATTAATGTATATATATATATATATATATATATATATATATATATATATATATTTCTATAAATTTTGTTTTTCACAGCATTTATATATGATAGCAACTATGATTTAAGACTAAAGAAAACAAGGGAAGTTGAAGGTCATGCCACCTTAATCACTAAGGGGTAAGGTGTACTTGATTTATTGCAAGTGAATCACTAAGGGGTAAGGTGTACTTGATTTATCGTAGATCAATCACTAAGGATTGAGGTGTTTTGATTTAACACAGTGTCAAAAATTAATTTTTTAAAGATATTATATATATTTCCTAATTTGCCTTTTTTCATATTATTGATTTCAGCGAAATGGATATCAATGAAGAAAATAAGCTCAAGGTGATGCATTCAAGCGATTTTTAAATACGTCATAATAAGAAGAAAACTAAGTACAAAAGTAATATTAAGGCAATGTTTAAACGAAAATTTTAAATGATTTGTAGAAAAAAAAGAAATGAACAACTTAAGTTTACATATTTATTTTTCATTAATGAATTATTGTTATTGGATAGAAGTGTTTGAAAGCACGTATTTGATCAAAATTTAAGAATATATAAAGATAAAGCTATGAAATGCTCGGAGGCTTGTCTGAAAATTTTGCATTTTTATATACTTCAAAGGAAATGAATAGAAACATGATGAGGCACCGCAGAAAAATAGAAAAGAGCATGATAGAAAACTTACATAAGGTATTATATAGTTACTTTAAACTGATGAGATATACACTACCCCTCTTACGAGGTATTTACAGTTATCATGTAAAATGAAATATATGAAGATAACGAAAAGCAATCGAGCTCAAAATTCATTAACACAAAGAAGTCGGTTCAATTTATGCATAAAATGGCCCTGTAGATATACCAATTAATTGATCAACACTTAATTTTCTATTTGAAGCATTAAGATAAAATAGAGACTTGGTGCTTTCATATCCTATTAAAAAAATTCTCGTCAAAGTCCAGGTCTTGGAGAACTGGCTTTATGAAATTGCAATGTTCTTGAATTTTTAGATAAACAAGTATAATTGAGTACTTACAGTGAAGAAAAATAATATGAGCGCAACCTCTGATCTAAAAAATAAAATGTGTCCATGAATCCTCAGAAACAGTTCTATCATTTACTAGTTGCATATTTTAGATCAGAGGTTGCGCTGTATATCAAATATCAAAAAATAACTTTAAAAATTGTCCGTTTTTGTAGACTTTATGAGGAAATTGACGCATTTTGTGACGTCATAATGCATTGACTAGCCAGAAAATGACGTCATTTTTTATAGGATCGCAGTCATTAAAGATCTAAGTGATATTTTAATGCATTGTTAACTGAAACTATGCAGTTTCAGTTTTTCAGAAATTCACAGGGCCAAATAAGGCAAAAGTGAACCTTGTTCTTTCGAAACGTCGTAGGTTGGATCAAGTGACATAAAGGATTGAGCATCCCAATGTCGATCGTTCACTCCCGCCCATGTGCTCCTCATGGAAATGACGGAAGAATCAGTCGCTAATTCATTCATAAATTTGTATAAATAATGACCTATCAATTACCCTAAAAACATTGCCGAGAATTTGCATTAATGATTGCATTTATGGTCATTGAAACGACCATAGAACTTGCAAAATGGTTATGTGTAGTTTAAACGAGATGGCTGATTTTCATGTTTCATAAACCTATTTGCTAATAACATATCTCGTATTAAAAATTGCCGTACGAATCGATTGCACTTGCGCATCGAATCAACATATAAAACGAAGCAATATATACAATTTTGCACTTATTTTACATCAACTATTTATCAATAGTCAATAAACTCCTATTTATAAGTATTTGCTTCTTTCTTGTAATGGGAAAGAATTCTATGAATCTAGTTACATGTAACTATATATAATTTTGTGACAATCATACAAAGTTTTAACCTTGTACATGACATCAAGGATAGTTGTAATTCAAATCAATGAAAACAACATAATACTAATATAAAAGAGGCATGTAATATCTAAATGAGACTCTTTTTTATATAAAATATGTACTCTATCATAAAAGTATATGTTTGCTCCATAGAGAAGAATATTTGAATACAGTCTCATAACATAATATAGTTTGCATGAATGTAATATTTCAGTATCTATGAGAAATGAAAATTAATCGAATATTTAACTGAAATGGAGTGGAATACCTTCTAAAATATATAAATTTATATGCATATTTGTTACTTTTTTGTAGATGGAGTTGAACCTTCTGGCAAAGCTGACACCAGATTGTAAGTTTTAAAACAAACCTTACAAACCTATCAGTCTCTTTAAGGCTTAGTTTCTAACATACGTATTTGCATTTGCAGATGTCTTTTCATAAATGTTAATGATAAAAAATAAGACATTTAAAGATGGTCATGCATTCAAAATCTTTGGCATTTAGAAAGCATGTTAAAAATGCGACGTCACTTACATTCTTGAGTTGTTTATTAAAAGTTGATTTTTAGGTCACCTGAGTTAACGCAGGTGACCTATTACTATCCGTTTTCGTCCGTCGTCGTGCGTCGTGCGTCGTGTGTCGTGTGTCGTGTATCGTGTGTTAACATTTGAACATTTTCAGCTTCTCCTCTGAAACCACTGAACCAATTTCAACCAATTTTGGCATACAGCATCTATGGATAAAAGGGAAAAAAATTTTGAATTTCATTGTCTCTGCCCCCCTGGGGCCTCTGGGTGGGGCCAAAACCACTAAAATTAGTGTAATGTTTAAAAATATTCTTCTTTACTCCTGGACATCAAGCAGTCAAACTGTTGGTATGATTGTAATCAGCAGTGAGTCTTCTACCAAAATTGTGAAATTCATGGCCCCAGGGTCAGGGGTTCTAGTGCTAGGGCGGGGCTCTATTGATTATATAGTGAAAATGCATAAATTCTTTGAAAATCTTCTTCTCTGCTCCTGGGTATCAAATAAACATACTAAGTGCACAGTTATGATAAGCAAGAGTGTCTCTTTCAGATTTGTGAATTTTATGGCCCCAGGGGCAGGAATTCTGGTGTTAGGGCGGGGCTCTATTGATTATGTAGTGAAAATGCATTAATTCTTTGAAAATCTTCTTCTCTGCTCCTGGGTGTCAAATTAATTAACTAAGTACATTGTTATGATGACCAAGAGTGCCTATTTCAAACTTTTGAATTTTATGGCCCCAGGGTGGTCAGGGGTTCTGGTGTTAAGGCTGGGCTCTATTGGTTATATTGTGAAATGCATGTATTATTTAAAAATCCTCTCTGCTTCTGGGTATTAAATAAACAAAGTATATAGTTATGATGAGCAAGAATGGCACCTCAACCAAATTTTTGTTTGTTTATGTCCTCTGTATCAGGGTTTCTGCTATTTGCTTTAGGGGGGTGGGTGGGCTCTTTTGATTATATAGTGAAAATACATTAATTCTCTGAAAATCTTTTCCTTTGCTACAGGATATTAAATTATGCCAATTATCTAAGTTTATATATATTTATGATGGGAAAAGGTGCATCTAGCAATACAGTGAATTTTATGCCCCCCCCCCCCAGGGTCAGGGGTAGGGAGGTTACTTAGTCTGAAAATAAATCAATGCTTTGAAATCTTCTTTTTGGTATTAATCAACCACTTATGACAAATTAAAATTTATGATAAAATTTCCAAAATAAATAAAATAAATGGCCCCAGGGTTAGTGGTTCCTTTGGGGTGAGGTGCATAACTGGTTATAAAGTAGAAGTGCATTTTCTCTTTGTTACTCTGATTTACTTCTGGGTATTAAGTAACTAGTAAAGTAAGCATGATTAGTGTATAATTATGATAAGCAATACTGCAAAATTATGAATTTCATGGCTTCTGGTTTAAAACACGAATTAAATTCAATTGTCAAAAGTTGTTACATGATCCTCAGGTGACCTATAAGGTCCGTGGGCCTCTTGTGTTTCTATGTAAAACCAAACAGAGTCATAACACAAAAAATAAATACCGTTTTAGGAGTTTCATTGGAGTTTGAATGGAGCTTATCGGTGATCAAATTCTACTGTAATGTCCTTTGGGTTATAAACTATTTCATAATGGAAGAAATTTCATTTACCTGGTAAATAAACAGCAAACAAGTGTATCTTATTTATTTCAATTTTCTCAAACAAAGGGGATTTGTGTTTTGGCTTTAATATCTTTTTTTTTTCTGTACGATATACGTATATGTATATAGGAACATTTAATTGAATTTGAAGAAGATTTTAAATATAAAGTGCTTAAAAATTCTCAACATTTCAAAAATGTTATATTCTTCTATTAGTATTAACATTCTTTTATCTTTTGGTAGAAACAAAAAAACTAAAGTGACTTCCTAATTTTTCCGGAAGGGGGGGGGGGGGGGGCATGGTGATTTTGGGTAGAGATCTTCTTTAGTTTAATTCAAATGTATTTCCCCCTTTTTTAAACAGTCAATGAAATTAGTATTCATTTCACTGATATATAAATAATTTGTCATATTTGTCTTCTTCTCATAGCTTCTAATCCATCTCTCATGAAGCATCAAACGCAATCTTCCATCAAATCTAGACTATCGTCGCATGCATTAGATTTTGAAAGTGGTAAGTATTATGTCCCTTGATAAAATTTTATTCAAAAAATGAGAAATACTATTTGCAATGATAATGTCTATTCACAGTTGAAACAAGTATATCTATTATTATTATTGTTATTATTATTATTATTATTGTTATTATTATTATTATTATTATTATTATTATTATTATTATTATTATGCGTTGACTTACAAGTAAATTTGAAGTTAATATTTTTTCAGATACTGTATATTTTTATATGACTTACATATTGCTATAGCATTTCATACTAAAATGTGTCTTATTCTACCTCGTTCCTATTGTATATCTGGACGTCTTTGATTTACACATCCTTGTACTTTAAATAAAAAAAAATATTCTTAATACCTTGGAAGAGTGCAAATTATTTAATCTATAATCCAGAAAATTCATAGTAGAATGTTCAAAAGCAAATACACTTACAGTATTATCAGTTCATCTAAGTGGTGTGTGCAGACTTAAACAATTGAACACATCCCTTGAATCATAAACATTTCTAATGGTTCAGAGCTCCTGTCATGTTAGCAGTTTACGTGCAACTGGTGTATTCAATTTCTTAAATAATGTACACACCACTGAGCACGGGCTGAGGACACTAATGAGGGGGCTTTGCCTTTCAACATTTCTACCTTGAGTTTTCTGGATTAAAGATGTAATTTATCTCATTATCACAAACAAAATCGTTCTTTTTCTGAAATATCAAAAATAAAGTAAAAATTATTGAAACTGTGTTAATCAAAGGTTTTTCTGCAATTCGTTATTCTAATAAATTCCAGATAAAGTAAGTTTATAATAACATCCCATCGATAAGTACAGTAAGTTAGAAATGTGTTCTTTTTTTATTATTATTAATTCATTTAAATTGTACTTCTAAAAATTATAACGATAAGCGTATTGATATAAGTTAACATAGGTTATGAGACTTGAGATTTCTTTATTCAATCAAACGAGTCTTTACATTAAAAAAAAATGAATTAAAGATGAATTAATAGTGGAACTATTTTTTTTTTGTAAAAAAACGCACAGTTTATTTGAAAGGAGAGTTAGGATCAAACAGAGAAAAAGAGGGGAAATGGAAAAAAAATCGGTGTAACAGTTCAGTGAAATAGATTGCATATTTATTGAATGATAGAGTATTTATTGTTTAACTTCTTTTTATGTTTTCATCAATCAGCTTTACTGTTTGATAACTTTGAAATCATTTATATTTCAGATTCGGACACGCAGCACAGTTAAGGTTACAAAAAGGAGGCGGAGCCTGATTTGTACGGGAAAACTTGACTATGCCATCATACACAATATACGTCATACAACATTTCTTTAAAATACCACAAAATGATTTTATCTGCTAATCTGAACAGTAAGAAATCATCAAACTACATAAAACCTTACTTCGGCGTGTTGTTTTGTCGTTATTTAAATCCCACATAACAAGTTATAAACAAGTCACTGATTGCAAAACACTTGTCAATATGACGTCATTTCTTACAATGTGACGTAGTTTGTATGCAGTGAGAGACAGATCAAGTAATATTTTCTCAACAAAATATGTATTCTCTCATTTAATAAAATATTATTTACAGATATTCTATGGGCCAATAACTTGAATTTAATGTCTTCTTCACTATTTTATTAATATATTTTCTGTACATAACGTATTTAATTGACACTGTCGTATATTGTTATGCAAGTATATCGGGGGGTAATGAGGGGGGGTCTTAATAAATCGATCTAGTGCAAGGGCATACACTCTATGGATCAAAGTAAGCTTTTACATTTCAACTATGGAACTATTAAGGTATCTGAAAAGTGCTGCAATCCTGATGAAATCTTAAAAACAATTTAATTATATCAATATTTCATGCCACTGACCAGCAAAAAATATAGCAATCGGTCATACAAGTATAATTTTAACAATGACATTGCAGAATTTAGACAGGATCGCAGCACTTTTTAGAAACTACAATACGTGTTGAAAATATTTATATATTAAACTTGGAAATTTAACTTGGTTATGCCCTTGCACTAGTGATATTTATATGTAACATCAATACTTCAAGTCAATTTGCTGAAATCGCGTGACTGCCGCATCATGTGACTAGTCTAAATATAAAATATAATTGTCCTCGATATGTAGTTATTAATCATAGTCACAATTATCCGATATAAATAATTTACTAAAAATAATCGCCATCCCGATTACGAATATATTTTTAAATGAAAAATTTAGTCGATATTTCCATTGCGCACCTTAACTATACTGCGCACATAGGAAGCTAGACTTGTGCCCAAAATTCACTTCAAAAAAAATCAAATTGAAAGAAGAGGAGGGCCTCTAATTTACTTTTTATTTTTCTTAATTCTTTACAGAAATCTATAGTTTATAAGTTCGTATCAACGAATTTTATGAACAGCGAATCACATTTCACATGATTATAGCTATGAAAATTGTCCGTCAATTACAATAAAAGGTTTTCAGAAAAAAAAGAAAAAGACAAAAAAAAAAAAACAAAAAAAACGATGATTTATTAAACTATCAGATTTGATAATTGCGTGTATAAAAGAGGTGTTCGTATTTGAACAATGGTTATTGTGACTTTTCATTTTATGCTTGACTAATAAAAGTTCATTCTCTATAAGGCTGTTTTGTGGCCTACGATGACTTCGAATTTTCAGATAGTATTTTTCCCTTTAAAATATTGGTTGGTTAATGATACAATAGTATTGGTTATAATATAGGGTCACAAAGTAAGGTACTAGCATTAGAGTAATGTGTGAAAACGCAAGAGGGTGGCTGTGTTAGATAACTCCTACGAATGTTATAACCACCTTTAACCAACACCAAAATTTGCATGTAAATTTCTTATAAACAAAAAAAGTGACTACCAAATTATTAATTTGGTTTAAGGTGGTTATGACATGTAAATAAAAACTTTTTGCTTCATTTTTACGATATTTGCAGAAAAAGCTAACTACTCACAATAAAAGATATCAGCTTATTTATATTTCTCCTTTTTATGACCTATTGGTTAGAGTACAATTTTTCTATTGATTTACTAAGAATTAATATAAGCCACGCATATTTACTAAAAATTGTCAACGTTTTACTTAAAAAATCTAAAATCAAAGGACGAAGAAGACTTGATGTCATTAAATTTAAAGTAGAGACCTTTCGTTGAAATGTCTGATAAAAATTAAGAAATAAAAAACTTTTTCTATAGGCTATAAGATGTAAATATGATTTACCTTTTATAATTATGAATATTTATAATGATAGTTTAGTTTATCTATATACTCCTTCTTTGAATTCCATTATGAGTTCTGCAAATATGCTTTGTATTTCCTTATGAGTACTGTAGATAAAAATAATCTTTGTTTATTCATCACACTTCTTTAATAGCATCGATATAAGTTACGAGAACAGTAGTAAGGATGGGAGGGTTTTTTAATATGCAATTGATAATTGAATGTTGCATTACCCCATTTTACGATTTTTCACCCAATATAAAGAGATCATCCACTCAAGGTCAAGTGTCACACTTTTTCTTTATACATAGCTGCATTATTGGCTAACGCCTTACCCGGGACGGAACCTTTTTTTTAAAAAAAGATAATATCCGAAAGGTCCAAGCCATTTACTTTTAATGCTTAAGACCTAGGTTGAGAACTGTCACTACCCGTGTTAAATAAAATTTTGACGCTGCACTGGGGGGGGGGGGGGGCTGAATTTAACCTACAAGTTTCAAAAGTGCTAGATGAGCATCAAGCCCTTATGGTCCATTTTACCTGGGATGTTGTAAAGCTCTATAATTAGTCCGTATATATATGAAAACTTCTGATAGGCATAATTCAAGGAACTGTTGAAAATTACTCCATTTTTATGTTGTGCCATTAGAAACCGGGGGGTTATTTAAATATATCGTGCAACATGAGTATTACAAAAAACAAAGCCATTTTACAACGTTATTTCATCTTACACAAAGATGTACATTTTAAAGCAACCGCTCTTAGTTTTATGTATTGACTATTTACATGTATATGGATAGTCAACATTTACTTGCATTGATATTTTATGTTGTTAATTAATTCTTTATTTTTAGAAATTGTTGAATTTCTTTTATTAATTACTACAGTAACTTCAGTTTTATTTAATCACAACCAGAATCCATTCAGTGCTTTCAACATTTTATACATAACTTTTTAAAGTTCAATAGAAACACTTAGAAAGCTCATTTCTTACATGGGCATTTTATGCATAAAATAGGTACAATATCTATAGAAATGATAAACAATTACATATTATTATATATGACATAATACTTTTCATTAAACTTTTTTCAGCATCATACGGTTTGAATTTTGTAAAGATTTATATTCAAAATATGCAAAATGTGTATGCATCTGAATTCATAAAATATATATAGAGAGCCTTAGATTTAAAATATCTTCGAATTTATTACTCCAACATAAATAAAAAAGTTTTGTTCATTACATTCAGAAACATGCATAGAAACTTGATCAGGATAGACCTACACTTAACTTTTCTTTAACTGACGTCCATATTAATCTCTGAATCACGTGACCTAAATGATCGATGTTGAAAAACAAACATCAAAATCATGAAATAGAATGATTAAAATTATATGAAATCTAATTTAAAGGTGATTTTATCGTAGACCGGAAAATGGCTTTATAGAAAATCAATCTTTAGATGTCGTCAACGTCGGGACTTGGAAAACAATTTATCTTTTTGCATCCAAGAGACCTGCGAGAGAGAGAGAGAGAGAGAGAGAGAGAGAGAGAGAGAGAGAGAGAGAGAGAGAGAGAGAGAGAGAGAGAGAGAGAGAGGGAGTTACAATCTAGCTTATTTTCTGAAAATACTCCTTTCAAATATGACTCCTCATATTTTGTACATTTACATTTTGTATCATCTTTAATTTAAACTTTTTCTTTCTATGATAGATAGAAGCTTACACAGTACAATTCTGTGTACAAGGCATAAATTATGTACTGTAAACTTTTGATATTCAACTTCAACTAACTAATAATCGTCATTTTTAATTACAATTTAATCAAATTGTTTTTTTCATTCCTGGTAAGATAAGTGCATAAATATTATGTTGGTTACTAATTATGTATTAAAAAAAATATTAAATGAACTTAATCAGTAACTTTTGATTCTGTTGTTTTTCAAATTTATGTAAGTTTTCTTATCGCCTAATGTTTTATACTCAATTTCAACTTTTGTTATCTAAAAATATCTAAAAAATGATTTAAAGGAAAAAAATGATTCCTTTTATACACCGGGAGGAGAGTTGATGCTTTTGAAATTGGCGTGGCTCGAGAAAAGGGGGTCGGATTGGTCGGAACCTTTGTGTCAATGAGAGACCTTAGAATTATATATCCCCTATCCACAATGCATTTTGAGATGATTGAAAATTTACTTTTAAAACTTTTTAATCAAATATTTAAAAATGAATATAAACCAGTACAACACTGTGATATAAAAAGTAACAATCTTATTTAAAATAAACCCTTTATGCAAGGCATCTAGGGTGACCTAGTTTAACAACCATGCTAGTTAACAGTATGGAACTGTAAAATAACATACACGCATACAGATACATGTATTAGTAAAACACAGTTCAAAAGTACATACATGTATCAGAGATATTATACAATTAAGTATGGTTTATCTATTGTTCCTATTAGTGGATTTTTTTTTTAAATTAAGGTCAGACGACACCTTCCTCAAAAATATATAATTTTTCCTCAGAATTTGTCATTGAAGTCTAGGTACTTAAACAAGTTTCCTCACAAAAAATTAAGGTACCTTACCAGGCATTTGGACAAGATACCACAGGTCATATTTCTTATATAACCGTTATAGGTAATCTTCTGAATGGGCTATATCACAATTTTTGGTGTATTTATATTTAAAAACATTTTGAAAACAATGTAGAAATCAGAAGAGAATAACAAATTTGAATTATTTTTTATATAATACCAAGAGATACAACACATATATTTTAGGAACGTGTCGTCTGACCTTAATGGCGAAAAACTGGTTGAATTTTGAAAATAACTGAGGAAATTCGGACCTTAATAATTTTTAATTTGTTAGCCCAAATCTGATAATTATCTACTAATTAGCACCACTTGCTATTATAAAATACATTTTATATACCAAAAGATTTCTGATACGCCTCATATTTTGCTTGAAAAGGAAAAAAAAGGCCATAGTGTAGAATTTGGAGGAATTTTCCGAAAAATCTTGGGTGGCCAATAGCAAAAAAAATTAGGTCATTGACCTAGATATTTCAAAGTGGTAAGTGACACTACAGTTTGGGGTCAGTGACATACTTTTTATGGTTCGTCGT